AAAAAACACATTTTGAAGATGAAATCATCAATGTCGATAATGATGATGATGATGATGATGAATAGAATGGAAATCTTTCTGTTATTTTCATTTGTAATGATCATTTGTTTTTTATATTTATAAATAAATAAATAAATAAAAAAGAAAAAGAAAAAATGTTTTTTTGTCTGATTTTGTTTCTGAAAGCAATTTCTTGGAAAATTTCCGGAAAATTTTTTTTTCTCTCGTTGTTGTTATTTGAAGCATACAAGTCGAAATAGCCGCCTTTGAGTGAACACGTTTTTGTTTTTGCTCTGTGATAAAATTTCAATTTTTTATTCTTTTAATGCGTTTGTAACAGTGAAATTACAACATCCTTTATCAAAAATTAATCTTGAACCTTCATTTTAGCGAATGAAAACATTCATTCGGTCGTTAATTCCATTTCAAATCGAACAAAAGTGTTTTTTCGTTTTCATCATCGTACAGGCACATTCACACCACCAACACATCATCTTCTCTCTGTGATTTTTCAACCCTCAGCACCCATATTACACCAAACTGTTTCCAATCCTCTTCAGAATAATATTATCATCGAAAACATCATTACCTACTCCAATTAAAGTGTTTTCTCCTTAATTAATTTTTCAGCCTTCAAGGCTTTCCAAACTTGTTTATTGAGCTGCAACACCTCAGTGCTGCCGCCATGGCTAAACACAAGAAAAGACTTGCTCAGCCTGCTCAAGTCGCTGTTAACAGTGACTCAGAATATGAACAACCTAGTGTCAATAGAAATCCAAGAAATGCAAATGAAGCTGATGAAACTCTGGAAAATTTACACCAAGACTCTTCACCAATTGCAACTTATAATATTCAACAGTGCTGTGATACACTAAAATGTTTCAACAAAATGCATGACAAACGATCAGTGACCAAATACCTCGATCTCCTTGATACTATATCCAACACTCTGTTAACCATAGCTCATAACTACGAACAAAATGACAGTAAAATTCACAATATACTCGAAGAACTGAAACAAGATATCAAAAACAAACCAGCATCGCCAACCTATTCGCAAGTTCTCCAAAGAAATCCGCAAACTACACAAATCTCAATCCCAAAATATGATGAAAAAACGATCATTGTCAAACCCAACGATAGCACTCCTCCGCAAATCATCGAAAATAAAATCAAGGAAATCATCAAAAAATCTAATACCAAAACAAAAATAAATTCGATCTACAGTAAACAAACATGTGTGATCATAAAAACACCGAATAATGATAAAGACTGCGACCAACTATTGAACCAAATAAATTCTGATGAAGAAACTAAAAATACATGCAACGCATATGAACCGAAAAAGAGAGATCCAACAATACTCATCAAAAACGTAGCATCGGATACAGATCTCCTTAAGTTAGCAGAACAGATAGCTGAATGTAATCCAGAATTAGAAGGCCTAGAAGATGATATGGAATATTTGTTCAAACTCAAATACAGTGATACTGCCAAACACATGAACGTTGTACTTAAAACAAGCCCAAAAGTATATCATATCATCACAACACAAATGAACAACAGAATTTACCTAGACTTTCAATGTTGCAATATACAAACAAAAATTTTTATTAGACAGTGCCAAAAATGCTTCAGTTTCAACCATAAGAAAGGAGATTGTAAAAATCGACCCATATGTAAAACATGCGGAGAACATAAAGAAGATAATCATTCATGCTCAGGAAACACGTGTTGTATCAATTGTAAAAATTCTACAAAATATAAAAACGACACATCTCATTCACCAAACACCGAACATTGTCCAATATACAAAACCCAAGTGGAAAGATCAAAAGAACAAACACAATATAGACCATAACTGAATGTATATCCGTATTATCCTCATCCTTCATTGTTATTGAAATGACCAGTCATTCCGTAAGATTTCTACAACAAAATGCTCGCAAGAGTCTCATAGCTACAAAAGAAATCCTCAACAACATAAACTATTCAAAACCGGATATCGTTCTAATCCAAGAACCTTATACCTCAAATAGTAATCAAATGCTCGGTTTACCGCTTAATTCAAAACTACACTACGTCAATACCAGCAAACCAAAATCTGGAATCCTAGTCACAAACCGCGGTCTCTACACAGAACTACTGTCCAATTTCTCAAATAGCAACATCACAACAATCAAAATTCAACTTCAAAGCACATCTTTAATTATCTGCAACGTCTACATCGAACCAAATTCTCTAACCAGCGACCAAATCAACCTTCTATCTAATCTTCTCGACACCTTCAAACATCAACCAATCATCCTCACTGGAGATTTCAACTCCAGACATCACCTATGGCACGACACCACAACAAACAACCAAGGTATAATCCTTGCTGAATTGATCAACGACTACGAACTAAGCATCCACAACACAAAAGATCCAACATGTATCACGACAAACGGCTCAAGCATAATAGACTTGACGCTCACAAACAACAAAGCCTCATCTTATATCATCGATTGGCACTCATCTAAACAACCGAATTCAATCTTCGACCATGTATCAATTTCATTCACCTACAACCATCAACAAAGAATTCCAACAAAAACCATCAACAGCACATCGAAATTCAACGAAAATAAAGCAGATTGGCAGAAATTCAAAGACTGTTTCAATTCTGATGTCTTCAATCAACTAAACATCTCGATAAACAACATTCAACACACACAAGACATAGACAAATGCGCTCTCGATTTGACAAAATTCATACAGGAAGCCGCCTATAAATCTATACCAACCAAAAAACACAATCCTCGTAAAAACTACACACCATGGTGGGACAAAGATCTCACCCTCATGCAAATCACAGTTCGCAACTTAAGAAATCTGTACTCACACGAAAAAAACACTATTGTAAAACAAATGAAATACGAACAATACAAAAGATACAGAAATAAATATGTCAGAGCAATATATAATAAAAAACAACAAAAATGGAGAGAATTCCTCGAAGAATCTAGCTCATCAAACACATGGGGCAACACCTACAAAATGATAAAAGCTACAACAAACCCCAAAACTTATACACTCCCTATCCTAGATAACGCGCAACCACACCAACACGGCACAATCATCGAAAACATATTAGACGCCATTTTTCCAGATGATAATCAACTTCTTCAACACACACCAACACAAACATCAAACATCCTTAATCAAGAACAACTCACAATAACACCAGAATATATTGAAACATTGATTAAAAGCACTAACAACAAAAAATCTCCAGGGCCAGACTACATTACAAACCAAATGTTAAAACAACTAAAAGACACAATTTCACCTACATTAGCAGCCCTCTTCACTAAATGTTTTATATTAGGTCACTTCCCATCTTGCTGGAAAAACACGTCTTTAATCATCTTTCCAAAGCCAAACAAAACAGAATATCACACACCTAAAAATTACAGACCTATTAGCTTAATATCAAACATATCTAAAATTCTTGAAAAAATTATACAATCTCGACTGCAAAATTATATTCGCGACAACAATCTTCAAAACGAAAACCAACACGGCTTCACACAACAAAAATCTACGATCACCGCATTATACAACATCACCAACGATATAATCAACAACAAAACCAACAACAAACTAACATCAATGCTTTCTGTAGACTATTCTGGTGCCTTTGACAATGCCAACTGGCAAATAATAACAAAAAACATGGATACTATGAATATACCTTCACAATACACACAAATAATACAAAGCTACCTCACAAACCGGACAGTCTCATACAAGTACAATAACCACACACGAACCAAAAAACTAACCAAAGGATGTCCACAAGGTAGCCCTTTATCCCCCACATTATGGAATATTCTCATCAATTCACTACTCAACTCCTTCAACATCCCTAGCGCACACATCCACGCGTATGCGGACGACATTACAGTTATATGTACCGGAAACACCCCCAACCAACTACATGACACATTACAAAAAACACTCACTTTCATAAATGTATGGTCCAACAATAATTTCCTTACTATCAATACACAAAAAACACAAATCATTCATTTCCACAAGAAGACACTAAACACACCTGTCACACTAAACAACAATCACATAGAAATAGTAGACAAAATAAAAATTCTAGGCATTTCCTTACAAAACCATCAACACCGCAACAAAATCAACTTCAACACACATATAGAAAACATAATTTCAAAAACAACACGAATCAAAAATACCCTTTTTAACTTTTGTAAAAACACCTATGGTATTAACACTAGAAAACGCCAAAATCTCTACAAAGGCCTTATAAGACCAGTCCTCACTTATGGCTCCGAAATATGGATTAATCACATCACCAAAAAACAAATTCAAAAGCTTGAATCTACACAGCATCAAATACTAAGACATTCAATTATGGGATACAAAACCATATCAAAAGCCTGTACAACACTTCTAACACGAATTGAACCAATCCACACAAACATTCAAATCAAACAAACTAAATTTTTATATAGGCAAAATATACCACAAGAGTGCTTAAACCACATCACAATAGAACAATTTATTGACACCACCAAACAAAATATTTTTGCACAATCACACGAAAAAACCAATGACACATTCAAACACTTCTTTCCATCACCATATATTCCAAAATTCATTAAACCAAATTTTATTCTCACACAATTCTACACTGGACATGGCAACTTCCAAAAATACTTAAACAGGTTTCAACTTTCACAAACAGACTGCTGTACATGTTCAAACACCACACAAGACGTTACACACCTTCTTTTACATTGTACAAATTATATCCAAATTAAACACCACTTACAATTACACAACATTAATTCATTACACCAATTCACACAGAACAAAGAAATACACAAAAAATTCATCGAACTCTGTAAACACATCCACACACACATCAAGGCAATTTTATAACTTTATAACTTCACATTCTTTTAAAAACAATCTTTTATTTTATATTTAGTCCTTATATTCATCTATGTGAACTTTATTATCTCATATTCCTTCAAATCTTTCTCAATATTGTATTTTTATTTTTTTAATATTACTTTCATATGAATATTGTATTATATTATTTGATTCTTCTTAATTGATATTGTATTGTATTATTTTTAATTCACGCAATTATCCTAGCGGATATGCGTTTTCCAATAAAATTATTATTATTATTATTATTTATTTTTTTTAATTAATTTAATTTTTCTGTTTAAAATCATATATGTTTAGAGTAGTTTAAAAAAATCAATGTTTCATTTATTTATATGAAAAAAATGAGATTTGAAGGAAAAAATGAAAAAATGTTTGAAGAACAAATAGAAAATGTTTTGGGTTAGTGTTTGTTGAAAAGATTATTTATGAATGAATGAATGAAAAATTTCAGGCAAAATTATTAAATCTTTGATAAACAAATAAAAGGCAGACAATTTGTAATAAAAACATTGAAACCAATTTCATTGATGAACTGCATGAAATACCAGTATGTATGATTTGAAATTTAATTTGATCCATTGATTGGCAGGCAATTTCTTTACACGGTAATGATGATGATCGTTCTTTACCCCATAAAGTAAAATAAAATGGATCACACGATCGTACATTTCGATCTTTACATGGATTACTCCATCGAATTGTTTCTTCAGATCCGGCTGCTAAATCTTTACAATATTCATTACGTTCACGTGGTGGAAATTCACGATCAAAACAATATCTAATTGCACCATCAACAGCACGAACCTTTTGATCGATTATGAAATCATTAGAAATTAGAAAAAATTGAATCAAAGAAAATAATTAAACAAACCTTAAATTCAATATCATAACTTTTGAGAAAATATTCTGGATACATTGCCCATTGTTGTTTATAACCAGGACTAATATATTTTTCCATTATTGAATTTTGTGATGGTTTTTCATAGCATTTATCATAGATAATTTGTGCTGGATTTTCACAAATACTTTTATCAAAATTCATACCAATTTGTGTTTGTGTTGGGCCGACCATATCTTTTGTTTTATCATTAAGAATATCAATGAAATTTTTCTGATCATTTGAAATGACTAAATAACGAACATCACGATTATCATATTTAAGTGAATCTTTATACCAATTATAATCATCCAATTCTTTTGAATCAGTTGGTAATTTAAGTGTATCATAATCAATAATAATAACATTGATTGATGCTTGATCATTTAATGATTTTCGTTTACCATTCCAATATCGATAATTGGAAATAGTTTGATTTAATTCTTTGAAAAATTTTCCAAAACTATTTTGAGCAGAAAACATTAAATCTTAATTGAAGAAAATATAAAGTTAAAAATTAAAAGTTAACATCGAACAAACAAACAAACAAAAAAATTTATCTTACTATCTTGACGAAATGAACAGGATACAAGACCAATATTTGTTGAATTGAATATCAATGCCGATAATGGCCAACCACCAGGACCGGATGGTAATTGAACCAAATTTTTATTACTATTTGAATTAACAAAAACTGAAACTGTACCAGCATATCGACCAATTTTATTGATTTTCGTTACAATATCATCAACAATCAGAGCAGTTTTATTGAAATTTTCTTGTTTAGGATCGATAACAAAAATTAAATCTGATGGTGTTTCACAAGGTGCATTTTGATCTAAAGTTGTTGGTCTTGTACGACAAATATCCGCTAAATTAATTTAGTGGGAAAAATCAAATCAATTATGGTTATTTCAATTAATAAATAATCAAATTTACTTTGTGTTTGTGATGCTTTATCCAAAACACTTGCAAATGAATTGGCTTGAACATTCATTTCTTGCATGTCTTGTAATGCTGAATAAATTATACTATAAGTATTGATTTCATTGCTTAAATCATTTTGTTGTGGTTTTTCATTACCACGATCACAATAGCTAATGCCAAGATCTTGATTTTTACCACTTCTTGAATGTGGAACCGAATAATAAGATCGAAGTATATTACTTAATCTCATTCTAGTTGAATCAAATTTTCGTAAATGTTTTCCAATAACATAGCCATCAAGTGCACCACGAACTTGTGCCAATGAACCACGATTCGAGAATCGTAATTTTTCCAATGAAGCAATTGAATCTTTAATAGCATAATGTTTACAACAGGTTCCATCTATCCATTCACCGTTAACACCGAAAATAAGTTTTTCATCAAATTTTTGATTTGTTTGTGATTGATAAAATACGGCTGTACCGGGCATATTAGCTAAAGTGGTAGCAAGAAAAGGATCAATGAATGAAACATCAACAGTTAATGACGGTGCAATATCTTTGCCATTGGTAACTGGATTTTTCGTTAGACCAGATAAAATACCGATCAATACTTTTGCTGGTGCTATTGCTTCATTAATGTTTTGTCGAAATGTTACGACACCTTTTTCCTGTATTGGATATTGATTGTTTTGTGCAAAATTATTTCCAGTCATTACACTATTATCATTCTGTTGATTAAAAACATATACACCTCTACGATAACGATTGTTCATTTGTCCATTATTGGTAGTGTTAAGAAAAATATGTGAAAACATATACAACATTGTACAAAGTTCTTCTTGATTATAAATTGAATCAGGAAAATAATAATCCATTTCAACTAGATTACTAGTACCAAGAATTTTTGTATCAATTTCTGAACGTTTTTGAACATTTGGTGAATATTCAAATTCACCAAAATCAATATCATCCAAATGAAATCTAAATTGATTATTTAAATTTAGAAAAATAGAATTCAGTATTTGAAGAAAAAAAACAAGTTTTCCCTTTAGTTAAACATTAAAAAAAATTACCTATGTAAAATTAATCGAGCAATATCATCAGGATTTTTAAATTTCGACAATATTGGATCGGTTGTATTTGAAAGCCAATCTTCTAAACGTTCAATATAATCGATTAATGTTTCCATACTATGACTTGATGGTCTTGAATTTGGTAAATTTGAATAACGTTTTTGGATACAATCCTGAGCAAATTGTACCATTAAACCTTTATCAGCCATATATGCATGTTTATTTCTTATTCTTGTCATACCAGGTGGAACTGAATATTGTTGACACCATGATTGATCGATTATGATCAATGATGATAATAAAATGAATAAATTCAGAAATTTAATTTGATTTGAAAACATTATGAATATTTTTTTCAATCAATGAAACAACAAAACAACAGAAAAAAATCACAAACAACAATCATTTGTTTGAAACAATCAAACAAAACAAAACAGAAAAACAGAAAAAAACGGGAATTCAAAACAAGGTGCGACTCATAAAAAAAATGAAATCCAAAAAAATTTTTTTATAAAACCGTTGCCTATACTTGCAGTAAAGAATGATGATTGACAATGATGATCATTGGGAAACAAAAAAAAAGGAAGCATAGGCCAATCAAATAATCAACATCATCATCATCCCAGAAAAAAAGATGTGATAAGATTAGGAACCAAAAAAAAAAATCCACAAAGATTTGTTTTTCCATTAATTTTTTCCATTTCTCTTTGTATGTCCATATAATGAAAATGATCAAGTGGTGGTAGTGATGATGATGGAAATACCGATCACCATGTCAACCAATTGAATAAAGTTGACAAATATTATTATCAATGATAATGTTGAATCATAACAAACAAATTGAGATAGCTAAAGTGAGAGAGAGGTGGAAAGCCATATTGATAATTTAACGGATGCTTGGTTTTTGAAACATTTGAATTGCAACCTGTGTGTGTGTGTAAGTGAGAGAAATCAACGATTGTCAAGCAGCACCAACAAAAAAAAGTATTAAAAGAAAGAATTACACATCGATACCAGAGACCAAAAAAAAAAAAAAAAAATCATGATTCCCTCTAAATCTCATCGAGATGATGATGATGATGATGAGTAAAGCCATAGAAAAAAAGTCATAACAAATTTTTTTTTCTTCTAATCAGGAAATCGTCGACAGACATCGTTTCTCTCTGTTTTGCTGGGAATCATCATTGAAAAAAAGAAATTCAATAATTTCAGATTATTTCCGTTTTTTTCTTCTTCCACGATTACACCTACTATACACAATCAATCAATCATCAGTAATTCGATTTTTAAAAAAATATTTACAATGATCTTCATTAGTTCAAACAAACAAAACAAAACAAAAATAAAATGTTTGTTTTTTTTTGTTGAAAATAGAAAAACCAAATGTAACACCCAGGCAACAATTTTTTGGTTACCAAACTAAACTAATCAAATTAGCTAAGCGACCAGCCAACTAGCAAAAAAAAACGTTACATTTTCTCATTTCTGTCACTCTTTGTCGATTGATAATTTTATCAAAAAATTTGGAATTTTATTTCATTTTATTTTGTTGATTACCCGGATTGTAATCAAAATGTAAAACAAATAACCAACATTGCAGAAAAAAAGGAAGGTGGTAAACACAGTAAACACTTGTATCATATTGCAAATATTGAAATCCAACAAAAATTTACCGTTTCTTTCTTTGCTACACTTATCATCATTTTTGTTTCTCTTAGCAATTCTATCGATAAAAAAAAAGAAATTTATCTTACCATCATCAGAAACAAACAAATAAGAATTGATTTATGACATTTTCAAGTATAATAATAACAAAAAAAAAATGTTTTGGATTTTGTCTTGAATCACAAGTTGGACAAAAAAAAGTTAGTTTTATTTTTCGTAAAATAATTCACCTTGAGGATCTTCTGTCTGTCTCGTTTTTGGTTGTTCATATCATGTCATGATGATATTAGGCAAGATTTACAGAAAAAAAATTACAGGTATTATCCATTTGTCACATTCAAATTGATTGATTGATTTGAAACAATATGGATCATTTATTAGGATCATTTTGTTTGTTTGAGGATAATCATGAGGAATGACCTTATTGATTTTATAAAATTATTGATTGATTTTTGATTTTCTTGATGGAAAAAATCAAATGTCATCATTATGAAATCTTGAAAGAAATCTTTATTGGATCTTTTCTCTCTTGGTTGCTTATTCATTGTCAAGTTTCGTTGTTTTTTATAAATAAAAATGCCTAACGATTCGAACGATTTCTCTGGCGATTCAATTTTCTTTCCAAAAAGTTGTTTTAAATTTCCAAACATGATAATGATGATTTCATTTGTTAAATTCAAAATTTTATTATTTTATCTGTTCATAATGATAGATATGATAATGGGACAGATAAGAAATTCTTATCAAGTTATTCAACAATCAACAAATCAACAAAATCAGTTATTATCATCTTCAATAATATCGTCTTCAATTTTCAATCGAAATTTTTTAAAGCCATCATCATTATCGTATAATCGATTGAATACAAAAAATTTATTCAATGATCGTGCTACTATTCTATATAGGCCACAAACATCGATCATATTGAATGATGGACAAGTAAAAGTAGGAGAATGTCCACAAACAAGACCAGCCGGAAATGGTTATTATACATTCAAACAGGTATTCAATAATCCAGGTATCCAAAAAACATATGATAATGAAATTCTTTCCTTTCCATCCTTTCAGTATGAAGGTATATGGTTTAAAAGATATCGAAGCCGTGTACGACAAGGTGAATCATTTTTTAAATGTGCATGGATCGATTATATTGATCAAGGTAATAATAATATATTTATTATGGATAATTTACAAAATAATCGGTAAGCAACAATCGATCAACAAAAAATATTTGTAAACATTTCTAAATTAAACAAAAACAAAAATATGAAATGAAATATTTTAGAACGGGTGAATGGTTTCGTCAGAATGCAACCACAGAAGTATGGCCAAATGATCCTACAACATGGACTAGTACATTAGCAAGTAAGTTTATTTGTTTTTTTGTTTTTGGATTTATTCTGATTAACACTATAAAAATCTTTTTTTTTTAAATATCATCATTATTGTCAAAACAAAAAAAGATGGCGTCCGTTTTGATACACATCTAATCTATTACGATGGTAATTTAGGTGTGGCAGTAATCTATAGCTGTTCACCAACATCGGATAATGGTCACCAAGGTAAACAAAACAATAACAAATTTTTTGTTTGTTTGTTTGAAAAACACTATAATCCAAATTAATCCAAATTTTCATCCCTTTTCAATCGATCGATCAATCAATCAATCATTTTAATTTTTCAAGGAATCGGTAATATTTACACAAGATCACCGACAACACCTTTATCAAAATCATATGTTGATTTTTTATTGGATATTTTCTATCAAAATGGAATCTATGATACATTACCATTATATTTTGTTGATCAGGATAATTGTAAAGAAGAAAATCTACCTAAACCAAGATATAATATGATTTAATTATGATGATACCTGTACGAAATGCTCCTTTTATTGGGCCTCTTAAAAACAAAATATTTTTAATTATTTTGATTTATAAATTAATTTTTTTCAAAAAAAGACAAAAGTTATAAAAATTTTGAATTTTTTTCTGAATTCAGTGTCGCCACCTGTTATTTAAATTTTTCAACAATTTTATTTCGTTTAAAATGGAGAAAAAAAAATTGATTATGTTATTTTTTTTGTAACTTGTAAAATCAAATAAATTCCTTGTAACTAAATTCAATAATAAATGAATTAATAAATTAGTTATGTTTTCTTGGTTGGTGAGAGATAGAGAAAAAACCATGTTCACTAATAATAAGGGAAATTTGTAAATTTATTGGTCACTGCCTTTTTTTTGATTGTATTTTCAAACGAGATATGTACATAATCTAAAATTTAGTTTTCGATTCTTATTATAAATGGTGTGTATGTGTGTAAATGTAATTTTAAATTTTAAATAATTCCTTTTAGAAAAAAATGTTGCAATTGTTTTTTTTTTGCCATAAAATCAGATTTATAATGAACGAAGTCCTTCATCAGCATAATAACGAACATCATTATCAGTATCGTTTATCAATTTTTCCAAACATGGTTTAATTTGACTTTGAATCACACTAATAAAAAACATACAAAAAAGAAATATTTTTAAAAAAATTTCTAAAAAAAATCCATAGAAAAAAACTTACTTCCTATCTAATTCGGCTGCCAATACTTTCAATGTTTTGGCTACATTGAATCGAACGTTTGGTACTGAATCGGTACTCAAACGTAAGACGGTTGGCAACATTGATTTCTAGATTAAATTTGATTAAAATTTTATCAATTTTTTTCTATATTAAAAACTTACAATTATAATATCTGGTCCACAGACTGAAGCCAAAACATTGATACTGAAAAGAAAAGTCATACGATGAAGATAATTTGGATCGGTTGCCATTGATAATATTTTTGGTATGACCGTTTTTTGTGCCCATTCAGGTCCGAATTTTTCGACCAATTTTTTTAGATTTAATGTTGCAGCTTCTCGTATAGCAAAAACTTGATCAATTAACCAACCCATACAAAGTGAATTAAGTTTTTCTTCAAAAAATTCAACACCAAGTTGTCCTGCTAATAGAGGCATATATTGAATAATGGCTAATCGAACACGCCATTTACTATCTTCAGCCAATTCAACAATAGCCGGTAGCAATGATTGACTTAATTGTTGTACACCGATAACTTCATTCACACAATCCAATTTAGAAATAACATTTAGACGTACTTCAGGACATTCATCTTTCAACATTAATAGAAAAATTGGCAACAATTGTTCGATGGTATTTTGTTCACCAACTATTGGCGATAGGCCCATTATGACACCGGCCAATGCTGTTTTAACATGTTGATTAGGATCGATAACCAATTCTTTAATACATGGTAATATCTGCGTCATGATGATTTGTTCTCTAGCATCAGTCGGCAAATTTTGACAAAAATCTTTTACTTTTTGTGCAGCAGCAGCACGAACTTCAGCTTCAGGATCTTTCAATAGATTTTGAAATGCTTGAACCAATTCACTTTTGGTAATTTCAGGTCCAACAACATTTTGTATGTCAGTAAATCTATCAGCAACCATATAACGAACACGCCATGATTTATCTTCAGAAGCTTGTTTAAGAAATTGTATCATATGCATTTCAATATCTTCATGACTCAATAGACCAGCAATAGCAATCGAATCTTCAACTGCCAATAAACGAACTGAATCTTGATCATCGTTTAAAAATTTTGACCACAATGGTATGATTTCTGATTTAACATATTCAGGTTCCAAAACAACGGCAAATTCACCCAATTTGTTGGCTGCATTGCGGCGTACCATTGGTGTATCATCATCACAAAGTTGGCGAAAACATGCTCGAAGTTCGGCTTTAACTTGATTAGAAACACGTGGATAGACAACGCTGAATAAACCACATGCACTGCAACGAGAAGTAAACCAATCTCCATCAGCTAAACGCTTTACTAATGGAACAAAATATTCTTCGAGATCATGTGAGGAATGATCATTTGCAACAATTCTAAGCGATTCGATAGCTTTTTCGCGAACAAACGTTTCTTCGACCATGGCAAGACCTTCAAGCGGTGCTAAAAGAACGTGAGCATATTCCGGCCCACCAACCAGCTTGGTAAATTGACCAAATTGTTCGGCCAATGCAACAAGAACTTCATCTTCATCATAGATAGTATCAGCCAAAAATTGAATCAATTCGGTACGGGTACGTTCCACACCCAATGCTAATGCAATGGTCGATAATTTTCGAATTGAATTAAGTCGTACCTGAACATCTTCATTTCGTAGTTCATCAATCAATACGGCAATTGGATAGAGACTTTCTTCATTACTTGCTTCAGCCATTGTTTACAATGGATAATTAATATTTAAATCTAATTAGAAAATAATTTGATATTTTTGAAAAAAAAATGAAATGAGAGACGAACAAATAATTGCAAAAAAAGTAAACGGCAAATTTTTCAATTGGAAAACACTCCTCTCAACGCTTACCTTTTTTCTTTTCTTTTCTTTTCGTTTCTACTCGAGCGACTATATCGACTTGACGGTGATATTGTTGTGGAATTTGTTGGCCGAAAAAAAAACATCATGCCGAAATTTCATAATCAAGAAAAATGTTTTAGTATTTTCGAAAAAAAAATTAAAACTTTTCATTTGTCGATGAAAAATGCAATCAAATTCAGTAATGTCAAGATATGTTTCTAAAGCGGGTAAAAATTTACTTAAAAATACTATACAATCTACAGATTTTCAAAACAAAGTCTGTATATTACATTTATAAATACAATACATTTAAAATATTGTTTTGTTTTTATTTATAGAAAAAAGAAGAAGATCTCATGTGGAAAATGCGCCAAAATGTCCATGTAAATAAACGAAAATTTAACCAAAATAATACTGATGATGATAATGAATCTAGTGATAATCAACAATCTTGTTCGAAAAAAAGTTATAAAAATAATTGGATGAAAAAATTAGTGAATGCCGAATCCAAACAACCGGAACGATGGGGACATGATGGTTATAAAGAATTATATCCCGAAGAATTTTCATCATCATCATCTGATGAATCATCCAATAAAAAGAAAAAATCCAAAAAAATGAAAAAGAAACAAAACAAAATTATTGAAAAAATCAATAAAAAGAAGAAAAAATCTCATAAAAAGAAAAAGAAAACCAAATGATTCAATTCAATATATATTCATCTTTATTATTTTAAAATAAATTGTGATTTTTTTTTTGTATTTATTTACATACAACTATCATATTGTATCATACTAATAGTTTTTTTTTGTTTTTTGAATTATCAATGATGGTTTATTTTAGAATTCCATTGATTTACATTTTTTTTATAATTATAAAAAATTAATCATTTTTTGACAAAAAAAAGAAGAAGAAAAATAAAAGAAAATAGAATAAAATTTCACACTTCCTATCACTCATTTGTCAATAAAATTGTTGGTTTTTATTGTCGTCGTCGTCGTTGTCCAAAAAATGAGAAAAGAATTACTTGGAAAGGCAAAGAGTTCATATTTTTTAAAATTCATTTCAGCATCGATAATTTGTTGCCCAGTTATATTGATGATGAATAGTCAGAATTTAGGATTGTGGCGGATCTTATTGGAGAATGATTTTTTGAACCAAAAAAAAAATTTGTTCAATCAGGATTTACATTAATATTATTCGACATGATACCCGAATTATTATTATTATTATTATTCATTGTATTATTATTATTATTAATAACCGGATTGACATTGACATTGGCCGCAGAAGCTGCAGCAGCAGCAGCTGTAGCTACAGCCGCAACTGCTGCATTAGCGGCAACGGCACTTGAACGATTATTACTTAATAATGCTAATGTTTCCGGTGTTGCATGTGCTTTTAATATCTGTATATCGGATTCCAATTCTTTAATACGTTCTTTTAGTACATCAACTTCTTCACGTACGGCAAACATTAAATGTGATTTGACCAGATCCATTGCTTGTTCAATTTTATTATCGATTGCCACTTCTGATTGATCAGAATTTATTTGACCACCTGAATTATTACCTGTTTGACAATTTTGATCTTGTAATAAAACCGACTGTTCCAATTGTTCATTTGGTGCAATCTTATTAGCCGGTACATGTTTCGATATATTGATCGTATTTTGATTTTCATCATTATAATCAAAACAAGTCCATCGTCCACGTGTATATGGTTGTGATGAAACTAATTTGACTACTTTAAAACGATGTCTCATTTCGGTATCTTCAGTATTTGCCACTGTTGTTGTTGTTGGTGTTTGTTGTTGTTGTTGATTATTATTATTATTATTATTATTATTATTCACTAATTGATTATGATTTGTTGTTAATGTTGTTGGTGTTGTTGTTGTTGCTGTTGTTAATGATGTTTTCGGCGGTAATGCAACATTGGTCGCTAACGATGTGTTCGTCACAGTCGTTATCGGTGGTAATGATGATTGTGATGGTACATTCGGATTGGCAACTACCACAACCGTATTCGAATTGATCGCTATCGTATTATTAGGATTATTATTCACATATATATTTGGATTCGATTGTGGTTGATTTTGATCATTATTTATACCACCACTATTAATAATGACATGGCTAATAGTGTTGTCTGCTGATGATGATGTTGTTAATGTTGTTGTTGTTATTGTGGTGGTGGTGTTGATGTTGTTAGTGTTACTATCGATGATAGCCATATTATTATTTTGATGATTTGTAAGTTGTTGTTGCTGATGGCGATGATGATGATGATGATGGTGTGGATGCGTATGATGATGATGAGGATTAGGCGAAGGAGTATTATGATGATGATGTTGTTGATGATGATTTGGTGTATGGATGGTATTATTATTATTATTCGTAGCAGCTATATCATTTGCGGCAATAGTTTCCATTACATTGATTGTATCTATTGCGGCAATATTTGATGATGATGATAATGATGCAGCAGCAACAGCAGCAGCAGTTGACATGGCAATATTACCGTTATTATTAGTATCATTGCCACTATCGTTGTTGATGTTGTTGGTATTTTGAATGCTTGTTGCTGTTGTTGTTTCCATTATTTATTTATTTATTAAATGTCTAAAAAACAACAATATAATTTTTTTCTGCTTGTTTGGTTTTGTCAGATTTTTTTTCGGTGCATTTTTTTTCTTCTAATCACTCAGTTGTTTTTAATCTCTCTATCTCTCACTTTATCATTGAATTGTCATAAATCATCATTTGATTTGAAATAATAATTCAATTAGGCACAAAACATCATAAAGAGAAAGAAAGTGAGTGAATGAATGAATGAATGAAAAAAGAAGAAGAAAGTTATTTCGAGGACAAATATAGATTTTTTTGTTTTGCTGTTTTGTGAACAACCTACACACACACACACTGCCGATGGAAGATACCATAAATAACTTGTTTTCTATCTATGATTGTTTGGTGACAAAGTGTTAAAAAAATGATTTCTGATCTTGAAAAAATACACTTCAATTATATATCGTAGTTGTTGTTATTGTCATGTGTATGCACGATTTATTCAATAGTAAAAAAAAACATCTTCGACAAAGCAAAAAAAAATTTGAATAATAATATCCATAAAGAGATACAAATTATCAACTTGTGATATTTAAAAAAAAAATCGTCAGATGTTAGCGTTGATGATGATTGAAAGATTTCGAAATTATATCATCGATGAAAATTTTGTTGTTGTTGTTGTTGAAAGAAAAAAAAGATGCCTATGGATGATTGAATAAAAAAATTTTTTTCAGAAAAAATTATGAAAAATTCGAATCGAATGATACTTACCGATCGATTTGAAATTGATTCGAAACCAAGTCCACTACTGAAAAAAATTCCAAGCGAAAGAAATGTTCTTGTTTGCAGAAAAAAAATGTTGATGTCACATTCAACAATAATAATGATGACAAGATTCTTATGATTAATTATCCTTCTTTTTATATCTGCAATGAATGAAAGAAAGAAAAAAAGAAAAGATCAAGTTTTTAACAAGAATTAAAGAATTGTGAAATTCTTTTGACGTCTACTTTTTTTTTACATTCTGCTATATATTCAACAACAACAACAACAATTTTTTGTTTTTCAGTTTGACAAATTATTCGTTTGTTGTGGTGAAGCAAAGAATTTTTTTTCAGCAAAGAATTAATTTGTCATTATGTTGATGTTTAATTGGATTTCTTACGATTCTATCTTATGACAAACCGAAACAACAAAAACAACTTTAGAAACTATGAATATTTTGAACTGATAAAAAACGCATTTTAGCAAAAAATTGTGCAATTTTTTGTCATTTGCATCCAAAACAAAAATGAAAATCCAGAAAAACGAATGAAGGAAAAAAAGAACAAAAAAAGAGAAATAAATCTGAAAAACTTTTTTGTTTTTGTTTGTTTTTTCGTGAATGTATTTCCTCTGTCAGGATGTATGATTATTTCATCATTGATAACAGAAAGAACAAAAAAAAATTATTACATCAATTTTGAGAGGAATTTTGGAGTGGAAAAAGAAAGAAACCAAATCAGAATCTTGTTCTGGTCAATTTTTTCTTTTGAAATTCTATCAAAATTTGTTACAAGAAAAAATTAAAACAAACAAAAAAAAAACACCGCATTGACAACTAAAAAAAATACGGCAAACAGCACACCCACAACAACAACAACAATTAAATTGACAAACGTCATTTTTGAATAGATCATAAAGGGAGGAAAAAGGGGTAAATTTATATACATCATGTATATTGTGTATATATACAGGGGATATATAGCACCTAGGCTATGGAGGAGAAGTATAAATCTGAATGAATATCATGGATATACACACAGGCACCTGACTCGAACGTTCGGCTGTTTTGTTTTGTTTTGCTTTGCATTGCATTGTGTGTATAAACGAATTGAAAAAAACACGTATCATATTTACATACATTTATACACATCACATGACCTCGACGGTTTTTTATCAAATATTTTTAATTTTGGGTATTTTCTTCATTAAAAATTTAAAAAGAAAATCAATCAATTGAAAATAATTTTTATATTGTTATTGTTACAAGTGAAAAAATTGTTGTTGTTGTTCTGTTCTGTTCTGTTTTATTTTTCAGGTTTAATTCAAACAGATATGGATTCAAAAAGGTATTGAATTTTTGACAATTTGTCAAAAATTTTCTGTTTGTTTGTTTGTAAAAAAAAGTTAATTTATAATTTTCAATAATAGTCCGGTACGTAAAATGATTAAAACTCGGTCATCGTCACAATCACCTAATGGTAATACGAATCGAAAATTTTCCTTAATCAATCCATAATTTGAATGTATTTTTCGTTTCAATTAGTAAAAACCGAATCAAATGTACTGAAATCCACGAATAATATTGCTACATCTGTACAATCGAATGGTATGTTTCATAGATTAAATGGATTAGGCAAAAAAACCTAATTGATTACAAATTTATCTTGATCAGATGTAACCAACATTGTAATACAGACAAAATCTAATCCACAAGTTTCGTACAGAGTGGTCAATCTAAATCCATCGAATTGTAAGTTTTTTATTCCGTTCAATAATCATATTGATTAATTAATTTTTTTAAATTCAGCAACATTGGTACAAACTACAGCATCGGCAACAAGTAATCCACAAATATTGGTTATGGTACCTTCAAATCCAAACAATAATAATAACAATAATAATAATAATAATCAAAATTCGTTTGTAAAAAAAAGTATGAATATGATTCTAATTTGAATCAACATTTTTATTAAATAATATTATATAAAAAAATGATAATAATAGGTGAAACATTTACAACAACAAAAAATTTAGTCGATCAAAAACGACGAATGACACATCGTGAAATTGAACGTAGACGTCGTGATAAAATTAACGATTGGATATATGAATTATCTAAAGAGGTACCTGATTGTGCAACTGATCGTACTAAACAAGGTCAATCAAAAGGTGGTATATTGGCTAAAACTGTTAAATATATTCGAGATTTACGTGCTGAAAATATTTCATTACGGTAAATTTTTTTTAATTTAATTATTTTAAATTTTTTAATTGTCATTTTTTTAACTTTTGGCTACATTCATCAACTTTAGTTCGGATGTTGAAAGATTAAAAAGACGTTTAACCGATATTGAAGAGAATAGAATTCAATACAAAGAAGAACCTATGGTTTAATCTGTTCAAAACAGATTTTTTTGGGGGATCATCATATTCGAAACTAAACCATCACACACCTGTATGGCCTTGTGGTATGGATGGTTTTTTGTTTCATTTTATTCGCTTAAATTCTGTCATATGAAATTCATGAGATTCATCGATCAATATCAATGACATTTGTCATCAATTTTCTGTACATACAATCAAAACCAATCAAATAATCCTTTTTTTCAAAGTGTAAATATATTTTAATGAAGAAAAAAAAAACACTTGATGTTATTTTCGAAAATTAATAAATTTGATTGGATTTATTTTATGAAAAAGAAAAAAAATTATTTACAATCAATGAAAAAAAACCGAAAAAAATGTGACAAGGGTGAATTACAAAAGTAAAAAAAATGATAACGAAAAAAAAACATGAAAAAATTGGCATTGGCAGATCATCATGAGACACACAGAGCGATATTGATCGGATATCGATTTAAGGTCGTTGATTTTTGTTGTTGTTGTTGTCGATTAAACCACACTATCTTGATCCCTTCTCATCTGTTGTTGTTGATGTTGTTCGAATCTTTCTCGTTCACTAAAATTTCAGAAAAAATTAAAATTAATAAAAATTTTATAGAAAATTTCAAAAGTTTTTTTTCATTGATTACCCATTTGGATTATTATTGGTTAGCAATGTTGTATTTTCACCATTTGGTGATTTGGTTGCATAACCATTACTACTACTATTTTAGTTGGGGAAAGTATTTTTAAAATTCGTGCAAATGAAAGTACCGTTTCCATTTTTGTTTAACATAGAATTTTTGATGGGAGAAAAAAAGATAAAGAAAGAAAGAATTAGGATATTTTTGCATGCATTGCGTTGTCTCTGAATAGCCGAATAGAAAATCCCATCAATTCATTTGACCCAGAAAAAAAATTCATGCATTCGAAATTGATTTTCATCCCAGAACCAAAACAAACCAAACACCCCGGTGTTAATATATAGGGGAAGAAAACAAACAATCATTTCTTACTCGAATGCTGGATTATCAACTTCAATTTGTCTACCATTCGTCGTCGTCGTCGTCGTCGTATCGATCACAGTTGGTCGATTATTTGTGTTGACTATATTTCTGGATTGATATTTTGGACTAAAATTTTTGGCATCAAGTTGTTGATGATAATTGATGAATTTGAGGGATTCTCATAATGATTTTAATTTCTTTTAATTTGTTTTTTAAAAAGCAACACTTACTTGTCATCCATATTGGCAACCATCATATTATTTAGTTTATTTTGATCATCAGTATTAATATTACAAACATGTGTACGTAGAAAATAGATTACACCAACTTTGTATCGACTTTTTTTTGTGTAAAAAGGTGATAAGAAAAAAAAATTCATTTTGTTGAATGCATTCATTTTTTCATTATCAGGAATCACTTACCAATAAAATACCAGATCCATAATAATTAAAATCAATATGACAAATATCATAATGAATGCAGCCATAATACCAAGTGGAAATGATAATTTTCCTTCATTTAATTCATCCATTGAATAATCTTGATCGGGAAAATCTGATAGCGGTGTTTTGAATATAATACTGGATGGTTCAGAAAAACCTAATGAATTATATGCTCTTAATTCGACACGATAATATGAATCGGATTTTAATTTGGTCAATGTTTTTGATGTCCTTCAAAAAATAAGAAAATCAATCATCAAATGGATGAAAAAACTTTGTGTTCAAACAATAAACTTACATTTCATCATGATAAACAGATATTTTACTGATAATCGGTTCATGTAATGGTGTAAAACCAAATTCTGTACGAAGAATTGGATAATGTCGAATTTCAAAATATTCGATAGGTCGACCATTATCGGGTGGCATCTATTTCATCGTGAAAAAATCATTTTTTTAAAATGAATAAAATTTGGAAAAAAAGACTTACATTCCACATGACTGTGAATCTAAGAAAAAATGGAAAATCAAATTAATGAAAAAAACACAATAAAAAAACAATTATTCATACTTATGTGGATATGGTGATATAATTTCATCACGATTTATAATATCAAATGGAAGATTATGAAATTCCGGTTTATCTGGTTTAGTTTCTGCTTTTGTTTGTATTTGTCGTTCTTGGCCAAATTGTCCTTTACCAACTTCATTTTCGGCAGCAAAACGAAATGAATAAATTGTAAATGGTTTAAGTTTATCAATAATATAATCATTTTCTAATTTTGAAAATGGAAGCTCTTTGGTTTGATGATCAAATTGATCATATTTTTCATAATAAACAATATGTAATTTTTTGATTGGCATACCACCATCAAAAAGATCATTATAAATTTTAAATCTAATTTGTGTTGGAGCTATATCGATAATTTTTATATCATTTACTAAACCCGGAACAGTTGCACGATCCAATTGTATATTGATATAATTTTTTCCCAATGAATTTGTTGCTTCACATCGATATATACCAAATACCTCTGTATGTGTGTGAATGTGTTTTTGTGTGTGAAAAAATAACAAGGAGAAAAAATTGGTTTTCAATTAAATGTTTTAAAATTAATAGATACTATCAAACATACGTTCATCATAGATAGATTTTGTTGGTGTAATAAATAATTTACTAATACCATCAGCCGATAATTGTTGACGATATACATCATTATCGAAAATTTCATAACCATTTTTATACCATTTTATTGTTGCATTTGGTATTGCTTCGGCAATACAAGTCACTATTGAACATTAATGACAAAAAAAAAGAAAAAATTTAAAGTTTTCAACAACAAAAAAAAATTTATCAAAAAAACTTACTATTGACTGGTCGATTATCCCAGGTTTTGACTTTTTTAAAAAATGAATGCATGAATGATTAAAGAAGAAATAAAAGAGTTAATGGAAATGTGTGTGGCGTGTGGAAAATCTATTTACCATTGGTCATTGGAGTCAATGACATGTTTGGACTGAATTTTACTTCCAAACTTTAAAAAAAAGACAAAAAAAAAGATGATTAGACTTTTTTTTCCTGTTACTTTCTATTTCGATCGACTAATTATTCGATCAAAATAGAGAAGAAAAAAAAATCAACCAAACTTACTGTCCAACTAATTCAGCAAAACCGGCATCATTTTCCGCTCTGAAATGAAAATTATTGTTGTTGTTATTATCAATAGGTTTTGATTGGTTTTTGTTGTTGTTGTTTGAAATTACTTACCGGCAATAATAAAGACCATCATCATCTCTGGTCTAAATAATAATGAAAATAATGATAGAAAAAAAAGTTAAACAAACATAAAATTGCCGTCATTCATTTATTTACCGTATTCAAATAGGTTAATGTTAAAACTTTTTCATGTTTATCCATACGTTCTTCCAATACAATACCCGGATCACCATGTATAAATGGACGTGTTAGACCATTTTTACGTATAGTAATCATTGGTATTGGTATTCCAATCACACGACATTCTAAATATGAACGTTGATATTGATCATAACTTTCATTACGAAAACTTTTTATTTCAGGTCGTTGATATACACGTAAATTTGTTGATTTTTCACTTTTACCTGCCGAATCTTTAATTGCAAATTGTAATAAAATGACGTGCCAAAAATAAACAAAAATCAGTTCTATTTCATGAAACAATTTCAAAACACTTACTTTCAGCAATACAGGTAAAATTTCCTTCATCTTCATGTTTTTTCAATCGATTAATTATAATCGTACCGGTATTACGATCCACAGCATAACCACCAACTGAACTTAAATTTCCTTTTAAAATTGAATTTTTTTTTGTTGGCGAAAACGAAATTTAAAATCAAATTAGAATTTTATTGAAATTGAAAAAGACAGACAGTCAAACAAGATAAAAGAGGAACATACTTCGATTATTATCCAACCAGGTGTATAATGGTTGTGGAACACCGGACGCTTCACAATTCAATTCACTAAAGGAAAAAATTTCAATTGATAATCAATGAAGCGATTCAAAATCCAAAAAAAAACATACATTTGTTCATTTTCAATACCGAAACGTGGTTCGGATATTTTTTCGACCATTGGCCGTGCTACATGTTGTGACCGTTGAAAATTGATAGAAAATAATGAAAATCAAAATTCAAAAAAATTTAAAATTTTCCAGTCCAATTATTATTATTAATAGGAAAATGAAACATTCATTCATTTACTTACAATAGATTTGTACGGTAATTCGTTTTTCCTGTGTTGATCCTGTTTCGGTTACTAATGCGCTTACTTGAAACAAACCTTATATATTGATAGATAGATAGACAAACAAACAAAGGAAAATATTGTTATGACTGATTTTCTGGTTGTTTTTCATTTCATTTGATTTGAAAAAAAATTTTTAACACTTTACCTCCATCATCATCAGTAATTGGATCTTTTATGATTATACCACTGGAATTGATTAAATATCTTGGATTACTATCCAATTGTCTTCCTTCTTTTGTCCATATAACTTTGTTTTTAAAATGAAAATTACAAAATTAAAATTTAAAAAAAAAAATTCAAAAATTCAATTACCATTTGGTTTTGGATTGGCACTAGCACGACAATTAATTCTTTCACCAACATTTCCTTTGATTAGATATTGTATTTCAGGACAATGATCCCATGTTACATCCTCTGTGTTATTTTCAATAATTAATTAGTAAAAGAATTTGAATTTTTGTTTTCGTTTTTGACTTTGTCAAACACAAACACACATACCATAAATATTGACATTAATTTGACTTTCAAGTGATTCAGAATTTTGTAATAGACCACGACATTTATAAATACCACTCAGTTCTGGTTTAGGATTATCAAAACTAAGAAATAGATTACCATCACGATTGATTGTTTTGAATTCTGGATGTCGTTCTAAAAATCTATGAAAAAATAATTTCAAAAATCAAGTTCAAATTTCCCTTTAAAAAACAACATTTACATTGGATTAATTTCTTCATTTTTCGGTGTAAACCAATAAAGATCGGAAAATAAATTTGAATCACCACCTTGTCCTTTACATGTAATAACAAATTTTTGATTCGATGGTTTTGATAATGATCCAACATTTGGATAGATTTTTAAACTATACTGTTGTTGTGGTTGTTGTTGTTGTTGTTGACAATCAACAAAAATGAGACCATTGAATATTATGAGATGAGCTTCATTTTTGATTCAAAAAATTAGAGAAAATTTTAAAAATTCTGTCGTTGTTTTTGGCTGTTTTAAAAAATTCTTACCAATTAAAATATTTGAAATAGTCATCATCAAGTGTTGATGTGTGGATGACATGATTCTGTTTATTAATTGCATTTTTTTATTCATTAAGCTGGTTTGTTTGTTGGTTTGTTTGACAAAAACGATATTTTCAGGAAGCAGGAAATTTCACTGTTAAAAAAGAAACAATTTTACAAAGTTGATGACAGCAATGAAAATGATGATCAAGAATTGAGTGAAGAGGATATTTTCAATCAAATTTAACACGCACACACACACACTGGAGATTTATCACATTTTTATTTTCAATTTTTTGAATTTCAAAACTACAAAACTGATGATGATTATCTTTGAAAAAATGTGACGAAAATTTGAATCAGAAAAAAACTTTTTCTTTGGAAAATCCCATTGAAAAATATGGCTGCAATAATGGCCGTTTTGAACGATAAATCTTTTAGAAAAACAAATGCGTCACACACACCGTCAGGCAAACGTTATTCTGTTATATCAAATATACAAACAATCCGAGCAACAGTTGTGTGTTGTCCATTTATTTGTTACACAATGATGATCATCATTAAAACATATCGATTTTTGTCAATTATTAATTGATGATTCGATGATGATGATGATTCATTTAAAAAAAAAAGTTTGAGGAAATATTCGAAATAGGTTGTTAACAGACGACAGATAATGATTCGAATGCAAAAATCGATATGAATGATGGCAGTAATTTCTGGGAATGAAAGATTGAAAATGAAATTGATTCAATCAATCAATCAATCAATCATTCATTCATTCAATAAAATGAATGTTTTTATTTTTGGAAATCTTTTATTTTTGAAATTTCTATTTCATAATGATGATGATGATGATCCACCACGCTAACCATCGATTTGATTGTTTAAAACTTAAAAAAACTGATTAAATTTGTAACCAAAAAAAAACTTTAAACACCGGTGGAAATAGGTAGAAAAGCAATGATTATGATCATCATCATTTTTGATGATGATCAAAACACAACAACCAAATAACAACAATCATCATTATTAAATGTAGAAACGAAATGAAATGAAGAAAAATCTTGAAAACGTAAATCAGTAGTGAGAAAAAAGTCGAAATAGGAAAAAAAAGAGTCGTTTGACGACCTAAACCATTCGAATCAAAATGAAAAACTAAACCATTCGACGATCATTATATTCGACCAAAACCACCACATCGTATGGCCCCGAAAAAAGCGCAATATTTTTTTTTTCATTCTATATTCATCATCATCATTACAAGTGAACAAGCAGAAAGAACAGAACGAATGAATTGGATAGGAGAGAGAGAGAGAGAGAGATGGAGAGTAGTAGGTAGATTTTCTTGTTTTTTTTTTTGATTCTTTTTGTTCAACGATAATGATGATGATGATGATGACGACGACGACGACAAAAATGGGATGTAATCGGTCATTGAATCAAGTTTCGACAACGAAAACAACAAAAAAAAAAGTCGAATCGGATCGGATTGTATTTGATTCAATTTGTTCTCTTTCTTTCTCTCAATGCTCGGCTGTTTTTTTATTTATCCGGACATTTCATGATGTTTGGTCGGTTGCCACACCAACCAACCAATCAACCACCACTATCATCCATGTGTACATACATCGAGCAAATCAAATATCATTCACACAGATGGTGTAGGTATTATACAACCAAACCAAACCAAACCAAACCAAAACGAAAAAAAAAGTATAAAGGTTTGTTTGGTTTTATGAATTGTTGTTTTTTCTTCGTCTCGATTTAATAAACAACAAAAGCAGAAAAAAACAAAACACTCACACAGGTTTCATTTATAAGTGTATTTTGTCGGTATTTACGGTAAATAAATTTGATTTTTTTTATTTATTTATTTACCTTCTGTTCAACCAGAAAAAACTAATAAAAAATGTTTACCATTTTGAGTTCAACTAGGCCGGATATGTGTAAATAGACTTTGTGTGTTTACATATATGTGTGTGGTCAAGGGTCACAAAACAATGTTTATCAGAAAAAGAAAAAAAAATTTTGACTTGTTGAAAAAAAAATCATTTACACGAAAAGTAGCAAAATATGAATGATTTTTTTTCCACAATTTGATGCAACATTTTGTTGTTGTACAATGTGCATGATCAATGCAACATTACATTACTTGTAAAAGGTGAGTCGCGTCATCATTGTCGTCGTCGTTGTTGATAATGATAATTGGACATCATCAAATGCTCATAACGTTGGGGAAAAAACACCTTGTTTCCATAGAATACAAGCTGTTTTTTTTTGTGGATAACATTATTGTGCTATGTTTGGTTGGATTAGCAGGAGAAAAAAGAAAACATAAAACTGAATTGATCCATCCATTATAATGATGATTATAATGAATCCATGGTAACCAAAAGAAAGAAAAAACATCGTTTCTCTTTTTCTCTCTCCATTTGTTTGTTCATTATAAAACGGTCACATACAAACACAAAACAATGTAAATATGGTGATGTTTTCTCTTTTTTTTTCCAACAAAGAACGAATGAAAATATTTATTTGTGCTAAAGTATTCGGGACTCGATGATTATTCTGAAATATTTACTTTTCCTTTTTTTTTGTTGTCTCTATATTTACAATTCAAGGGCCAAAGGGCAATTTATTTTGTTCTGTTTGTTTTTTTCCCTATCGATTTGTTTTTTCTGATATATCGATGCACCAGAATATTTTGCTCGAAAAGGCAAAACTGAAAAAAGCTGAACGCAAACAAATTTTTTTTGGGAAATTTTCGCTGATTAAAATGATTTCAAAATTGAAAATTAAATGGTTACATTATATGTGTATAATCCTATTATTGAATTCGAATAAAAAAAACATTCGAATCATTGAATCGAACATATATCCGATTTGAGTATTCGAATGGTTACCGTGATCAGGTAACACACACAAACGATAAACAAAGCCAGGTTGAATGACATGTAATTTTGTTTTTTTTTTGTTTTGTTTTTTGATTTGGTTGAATGACACACCAACCAACAAACCAACAAATGAAACAAAACAAAAATGCAGAAATGAATAATGCCTTTTCATGAAATTGGATACGAATAATGCAAAAATTTTCAAAAAAAAGACCCTTTTCAACCTTACTATAAATGAGGATTCGCAAAACAAAAATGTCAAAACAAACAATCGTTCTTTGGGTATTGGTCATCATCAGTTTCCGGTTTTATTCATCATTTTTGTTTGTTTGTTTGTTTATTGTTGTGTTTAGTTTTGTTTCAATTTCAAATGTTATTTTTAAGTGTTCACTATATCCGATTTGAAATTTTTTTTTGGATTTTAAGCTTTGTTTTGACATCAATTGGAAACGTCATCGAGTCAAATCGAATGAAACCAAACGAAAATCACATATTTCCGAAAAATATTTTTTTTCTGGTGAAAAAAAACTCAAACCAAACGAAATGAACGATGTGACATATAAAATCGTTGATTATTGTGAACAAAATTTGTTTTTATCAAACATTTTTCAGATTTCAAATTTATATTCATTCACATAACACGCGTATTTTAACGAGAAAAAAAAGATCCAAAATCGACTCTATTACGGTTTGATGACTTTTTGTTTGATGATGATTAGTATTGTAAGTATCAAATGAATGGAACCGACTTGTGTCATCATCATGATCATCGTTCGGTGAAAGTGTAGATATATATCATTTGTGATCGGTCGGTGATACTTTTATTTTCTTTTTTCTTGTTTTGTTCGACAATGTTCGAATGATGATGATGACGATGACGATAAACACCGTTATACTCTTAACATAATAAATCTTCTTTTTCTTTTTTCTTCTTTAGTTGTTGCATTATCATAAAGTTTTTGTAATACGAGATTCGACATGCTTTATTTTTTTTCGGGCCATTTGTTGTTGCCTGCTGCCCATTGCCGTTGTTCATCATCATCATCATCATCATGGGGCATTGAAAATGATTTTTTTCCTTTCATTCATGTTCCCATACCCATTAGGTTTCTAACATTGTTTTGTTCCAAAACAAAACAAAAAAAAAACAGAACAACAACGAAAAAACCTCGATAATAATGGTGTGATACTGTAACTGCAGATTTTCTTTGTCAATTGAAAAGAAAGAGAGAGAGAGACCAGGAGAATTATTAGTAAGTAAGTAACTAGATCAATGTTGTATAAATGAATAAAAATTTGTAATACAATTTGTTGTTGTTATTAGATCATGAATGAATTTTGGATCCGATTCCAGGAGATAAGAGAACAAACTTACAACATTTGATTCATTTGTTCTTATACATATTCCATTATTATCATTATGATTCATATGGCCATTTTATTTTCTAATGCTTTTCTGCTATTGTTTCCACATTTGGGATTCAGATGAATGAATAGATTTTCGGTACTGTAAGTGGATATCTCTTCGATTCACATTTATAGATTATTTCATGAATGACAAATTTGTAATACTGACAAACAAAAAAAATAGGTTCAAATTTCACAACTAATCAATGAAAAACATCAAAAAAAGGAGAAAATAAGAAGATCGAAGCCAATCCCGAATGATATAAACACATTATGTAAATTGGAAATTATTTCACTTTTAAAATTTTCAACAAAAGAAAAGAGATATTTTTGGGTTAAACAAAACAACAAGAACAAAAATCAATTTTTTTGAAACAAATAATTTTATTATTATTATCATAATTATATATTGTTGTCGACATCGTTTGTCATTTGCAGAATTTTTCAAAACTACTGGGCGGGTGGAATTTGTTAAAAATCATCAATGACAAGATGAATGATGAATAGAAACACAAGAGCAATGACGACAACAACAACAACTGAAGAAAATTAAAAAGTGGCTAACAATAAACAATAAGATGATGATGATGAAAAACAATTAATCAAAATCAGAACAAAAAAAATTGTTTGTTTTATATATTGAACATGTATAATCATCAACAGAATCAATCAATCAAATGTAAAAGTGTGTATGTGCGTTTTTTTTTGTTGAAAAATTTAAAAATCAATCAATAGTTCAATGTTATGAATGTAATATCACATTTTTTTTTAAATTTCTTCGAATCATTTCAAATTCAGCAATCAATTTCCGATGTTATCTTTAATTTTTTACTATCGATTTGATGATTATTTAAGGAATCTTTGGTCATTTCTTCAGAAATAATCAAGAAAAAAAAAGAAACCAAAAAAGAGTTTAGAAAAGAATTAGGAAAAAAAAATTTTCATTAATTAATTCCGTTCCGCTACAAAAAATAACTAAAATTTACTAAACTATCTATTTTTCCCCCCATTAGTTATATACCTGATTTCGATGTAGTGATTATTTTTTCATTCGGTGAAGAACAACATTTATTTAACGAAACAAATTGTTGTTGCTGTTGTTTTTGTTGTTGATGATAATTATCATTGTTTTTGTTGTTGTTGAAAACATTCTGATTATTATCTAAACGATTCTGATGATTATTATTGTCATTAATAATGTTGACTGATGATGATAATGATTCAGCTTCTGCAGCCAGCAATAATGATAAATTATCTTCATATGATGATTTTGTTAATGCAAATATATCTTGTTGTTGTTGTTGTTGTTGATGTTTATTATTATCCATTATAATATTCATATGATGATTCGATGTTGTATCAATTGGATGATAATCATAACTACCATATGTTTGTTTCATATGTTGAGCAATACTATCCAATAATGTTGTTGGCGATTTATTTGTTGTTTTTCCATAATTTCTAGATAATATGGATGAATCTATATGATTTTCATCATTTGTCATTATTGTTTTTGTTTTATTATCCAAATCGATAATATTCATCGAATTATTATTCATTGTTGTCATAATTATATCATCATAATCATCACTGGAAAGACCTTCTTTCATTTCAATTTGTTTTATGTGATTTTTTATTGGATCAACATCATCTTCATCTTCATCATCACCATCATCGTCGTCGTCAACAATATCATCATCCTCATCATCATCATCATCAATATTGACCGAAGAAAATTCTTTTCCTGTTGCCATGTCCGGAATAGTCACGAAGGCACGTTTGTTTAGATTTGCCTGTTGTTGTTGTTGTTGTTGATTTTGATGATATATCGTTGGTTGTTGTAACGATGATGTTGGTATAGCCAAAACTGTATTTGATTTCACTATGGTAAAAAACAACAACAAAAAATCATAATATTGAGATTAGTTTTGACATGACCCTAGTCTTCATACAAACGTTTAATTTGCTTATTTATTTATATAAAAAAATTCATTTTTTTCTATAATTTTGTTGATTTATTCGACGTACTGGTTGTATAATTAGCCCATGATGGATTACGGCTACGATCCCGTGAAATTGCACCAAAATTTTTTTTATTATCAACCAATAATTGTTGTTGTTGTGGCTGTGATTGTTGTTGTTGATCATCGGTTGTTAAATTTTCCGGTGTAGGTGTTGATGATGATGCTTCATCATTACCTAGTTCACTACCACCGGATGGTGTTGAATCATCATCATCATCATCTATACCACCACTTGAAGCTTTTAATGATGATAAACTTTTACTTGTTTCATTTGATGATATTTCTTCGGGTTGTTGATGTGTTAATGATCTGAAAATTCAAATGAAAATGCATATGAAAAAAATAAAACAAATAAAATATTCAAAAATTATTAATTTACGTTTTGGCACTAAATTCTTTTGAATCAATAAGTTGTTGTGACATTTTCAATATATCCGCTACGGTTGGTTGATGATGAAATACGATACCTTGTCGTTTTTCATTCGGTTTTGGTGGTGATTTTGTAAATTCTCTTATACCTGCGAACGAACAAAAAACAAAAACAATTAATAATTTTGAAAATGACGGAGAAAAAAAACATTTTACCAGGATCAGTTGGCGATTCATGATCACTAATCGGTATTGATCTATAAATTGTTTCTTGTTTAGCTATTATTGAATCATTATTTTCATTTGCCAATTGTTTAATAAATTCATCTTGTAATTGTAATAATTTTTGTTTCTGTTCATTACCAAATTCATATGCACGAATAAGTTCATCTTGATTTGATGAACCACATGATGCAATTGAATGATAATGACTTAATACATTTGATTGATAGATTGGATCAATATTATTTTTATCAATATTTTCTAATATTCTTAATTTACAATCAATAGAATCGGCATATTGTGGTGGACATTCAATACCTTTTTTCAATAACATATATGGTGGTTCGGAAAATTTTGCCGCAAATGTTTCATATGTATCACTAATTTTTGAATCACTTTCAAAACCAGGTAAATTAAATGTAGCATATGGTGCTGCTTCATCATCTTCAATGAAACTTGTTTTAGTTTCATTTTTAAATGCATCGGTTAAAAAATCTAAACATGTATTTGTATTTTGTGCAACCGTTTGATTATATATCTGATCATTTGTGGCTGATTTTGCCGTTGTTAAAGATGGTTGTTGTTGTTGTTTGGATGTTTGTTGTAACGCTTGTTGTTGTTGGCCATTATTTGTCATTCCTCTATAGATTACAATCGAATCAATTTCTTTGGCTAAATTTGGTTGTGATTTGGCTGCCATTTGATAATTTATGACTTTAGCTACATGTTCGGCTCTTTCAGCCGATCGTACAACATTTTCACTTCGTATTGAAATTGGTGTACCTGCAGGTAGATCAGAATCCGTTTCTTGTATATTATTTGTTAGTAAATTTCCTGGTATGGATACATTTGGTGGATGAGCAACATGAGCACCACATTTAGCACAGGTTCTTGAACGATATAACATATCGGTTTTTTTCATGTACATTCTACAATAATAATAATATGGAAAAAAAACAAAACATTAATTCTGTTCCATTCGGAAATTCTCACTGTTATTGTTGTTGTAAACATACATCAAACAAACGACAGCTATACATCCTGAAATCAGTATAATACATGAGGATGCAATCGAAACAATAGTAGCCGTATCAATATCCACACCTGAAATGATAACAAAACATTACATATTTTACTTTAAACAACCAACAACAAAAAAAAAACAACAATGTTTACCATGATAATGATTTGGATTATTATTCAAATGATGATGATTATGATTATTATTATTATTATTATGAACATGTGATGATCCAGATGATAATGGATTTTGTTGTTGTTGATGTTGATGTGGTGGTAATATAAAATGATTATTGTTGGATAATGGTGATGATGGTATACCGGCATTATTCAATATAACCGGATATTGAAATGAATTTGATGATTGGCTATTATTGTTATTGACATTTATAGCCTGTATTGAATATGTTCCACTACTATCATAATCCATTATTGATTGTTTTTGTTTTGGCCGTAAATTATGAACAATTTTTGGAAAGAAATTTTCTGGTCAAAATTCAGGTTGATAATTTTAAAACTTTTTTTTTTTGCAAAATCGAGAAATGAACAAAAAAAAAAATTTCAATCAATCAAACATATTGCTCGTTTACAATGTTTTCAAACATCATCAACATCAACATAATGAATCAAATCAAATAACAACAAAAAACAACAACAACAACAACAAATATTATTGAATGAAATAAGAATAGGTCATTAAATAACAGACCTAGATCCAAACAAAACAACCAAACAGCCTCAATTCATATATATGCTCATGTTGATGTTGATGATGATATTTTTGTCGATATAACTATATTAAGGTTCATAACATTTACAATTGTTCCATCATCATCATCATTAACATTATATAACATTGAATCCATTTGGATCCATTTGGATTCAATCCAGTATTCTTTCTTTCTTTCTTTTGATCAACTTGTACGACGCATGATTCTTTTCATACACATTTTCATTGACAATTGTTTTTTTGTATTGCTGCTCGATTTTTGTTATCGGGTCGCTGCTCAAGTCTTGATTATTTTCGTTTCTTTTTTGTTATTCAGTTAGTATATTCCTAATTCCTTGGATTTTCAACTATATTTTTCTTTTATTCTTTGAATACGAATGCGTGTTGGTACTCGATTCTGGATACTTGTGTGTGTGTGTGTGCCAAAAACAATTGGAAATCTTGGAATCCAATTTCTTTTTTCTTTTTCCCCAGCAATCATCATCATCATAATAATAATAAGAATAATAACCAATTTCAATGGAAATGAACAAAAAAAAAAAGAAAGGAATAACTTTGAATGAATGAAATGAAATTGATGAATGAAAGAAACCAATATCTAATCAAATTCATTGAATATAAAAATATATTCTTTCGAATAAAAGTAACAAAAAAAAAGAAACAAAGAAAGAATCGAAGAAAACAATAGCGTTAAAATTAATGGACATTTTTGTGGATACAAAATGAAATGAATGAAGAGAAAGAACAACTGAGGAAACTGGATAACAAAAACAAACAGACAGACAAAAGGAATAATAATTGAAAAATTATTTTTTCCCAAATGAAAATCTTTTTGGGTTTTTATTGGATGAGATTTTTTGTTTTCCATCATTATTGATAACTTGGTCATTTGATGATATGATATGATCATTATCAACGATTATGATTTAAGTCGTTATTGAGAAATTGAAAATTGGATGTAGTTTTTTTTGTTTACTTCCAGTTCTTTTCATAAAAAACGTTACTTCATAAATCCGGTTGTTTATTTATTTGTTTGTTTTTCCATGAAAAAAAAGAAAAATTAAATTTTTCAAATCTTCATCATCACAAACATTGAACATTTCAATTTGAAAAGAAAAGATGGCACTTGGTTGTTCAGGAGAAACCAAAAAAAATTTTAAAATGAAAATTGAAAAATTCATCATCAATGGCGCCATCATCATTTGGAGAAAAAAATGGATTATTATTTTTTAATTTTTCATTTTCAATAATGGAAAAAATATATAGAATCCTGGTGTTTCTCTCGGTGTGTGTGTGTGTGTTTTTCTATTTTGCTAATCACATAGCTCTTATCATTTATGCAAATTGTACAAGTTTTCAAAATGAAATTTTCATTCGATTTGATGATGATAATCAAAACAAGAAATTCTATAGAAAATTCTGAATATTGAATTTATTGAAAAAAAATTTCAATTGAAAATATTTTCCAATATAAACAGCATTAAATTCTGATGATGATGATGATTGGTTCCAAGAGTTCCTATATCATTTTTGTTGAGAAAAGTGAAGAAAAAAATAGGAAATTAAATGCCGAACACAGAATCAGAACAAAGATAGACGAATTGAAATGAAAAATTTTTTTTATCAAAAAGAAAATCGAAATTCTGTCGATATAGAGTTGGAATAAGAAGAATAAGGTTGGCAAAAAAAACAATATGGTATTCTGGTGAATTCAGTTTTTATCTTTTTCTTCTTGTTTTTCTCATTTTAAACATCAAAAGGAGTAGCATTAAAGATTGAAAACCAGATTAGAAACCATTCCAGGAAAAAAAATATGACAAACTTCTACCAACAAAAAAAAAAAGAAGAAAGATTGGGTTAACATCCAAAATGTTTGATAACTGTGTGTGTATTTTTTCGATAACAAAACATGATAAAAGTGTGTTTGGTGTGTTTTCAACATTATATAAAAATGATGATAATAATAATAAATGTCGGCTTGTTGTTTTTTTCTTTTTCATCATTCGAATTGTTGTTGTTGTTGTTTAATGTTTTTCAATATTCTTCAATTTTTTGCTAGCGGTAGTATTAGAAAAAAAAACAGTAAAAGTTTTCTTTTAACAAAAAAAAAAATTCATTCAAAATATATTCACCGAAATGATAATGTTCCACAAAGGGGGGATGTAGAAAAAAAAAGAATGTTTTTGATAAGGGGGCGGAGATAGAATGGAAAATTTTTTTCGTTTTTTGTCGGTTACCCGGAACTTTTCCCGAAAATAATTTTTTTTTAACTATCTATATAATATAGGTTATTATAAGATGCCGCTAAAAAAAATTCATTTATTTATTTATTTTTTGGTTTTCTCTCTATCTTAACAAACGCATATATATCATCCGAATTTATACCGCTAGCGATGTTTGAAAAATTCATTCATTCTGGATTCGATCTTTGGAATGATGATGATTCGATTTGGTGGTTGGGTATTTTTTCTTCTTGAAAATTTTTACGCATAATCGTTTTTGTTTGTTAAAAAAATATAGCTGAATCGGCTAAACACCCACCCACACACACACAGTTTAAAATCTATCATAAATTGAATTCAAGAAATGAAAATATTTTTTCAAACAAAAAGAAAAGAATATAGACCGGAATACTAGAAGAAGAAGAATATAAAATGAACGAATGTAATGGCAAAACTGAATCTGAAATGAAGAATATTTTCGGGAAAAGTGTAGAAAAAAAGGAAAGAAAGGACGATAGTGAGTCAAAAACGTTCGAATGAAAACATTCGAATAAGATGTGAACGGGGGTGTAGATGTTTGTGCGGTATTTTTTTTTTGTCGGGAATATGATAATATTTTGGTTGTTGTTGTTGTTGTTCCTAGTTGAATATAATTATGGAACCAATAATGATGAAAATGTTGTTTTTAAAAAAATGAATGAATGAATGAATTAAATAAGCGGCGAAAAACATAAAGAATCCGAATTTTAGTAGACGTTGTTGTTGTTGTTGAAGAAGAAGAACAAGAATAACAACAACAACAAAAAACAACGATGAAACAAATGAATGTTCCGTTCACCGAACGATATTACAGAACTCGAATAATGATGATGATGATGATGATGGGAAAAAAACGAAGAAAAAAATTGCGAAAACGAAGAATAATAATAAAAAACAAACTCAAAACTCATGAAAAAAAAGGGAAGTAAAATAGAAAAAAAATAAAAAATAAAAAAAAACTTTGGAAAAATAAATTCGGTTTTCTCTCGATATATTCGGTTTTCTTCTTCTTCTTCTTCATCGGTTTTTTTGTCGGAATATTTTTTTTTTGGTTTGTTTTTTTTTTTTTTTGTTTTTTCGGTCGGTTCTTGTTGTTGTTGTATGTGTGTGGTGTATGGTTGGTTGGATGTATGGTGTGTGTGTGTGTGTATATGGACCAAGCGCGCATACATTTCCCGATTCCGAATGTTGGATTTATTCTTTTCTTTTTTTGTTGTTGATGTTGATTTTTTTTAATATTTTTTTTTCAACAGAAAAATAAAATAAAATAAAATTCTAATAGAATTTGATGATGATGCTCGGTTTTGTTTGTTTGTTTGTTNTTTGGAATTTTTTTTTTTTGTTTTTTTTTTTTTTTTTTGTTTTTTCGGTCGGTTCTTGTTGTTGTTGTAATGGTGTATGTGTGTGGTGTATGGTTGGTTGGATGTATGGTGTGTGTGTGTGTATATGGACCAAGCGCGCATACATTTCCCGATTCCGAATGTTGGATTTATTCTTTTCTTTTTTTGTTGTTGATGTTGATTTTTTTTAATATTTTTTTTCAACAGAAAAATAAAATAAAATAAAATTCTAATAGAATTTGATGATGATGCTCGGTTTTGTTTGTTTGTTTGTTTGTTCAAAATAAAAAAGTTTATTTCGTTTTTTTTTCTTCAAAAAATTTTCATTTTTTTCGGAATTTTGTTCTTGATTGTTGATGTTTTCGTTTTTCGCGTTTTGTCCATGAATTTCGATATTTCTTTTTTTTTTGCTTTGCTTGATATTTTGAAACATTTGTGATCGAGAGAAATTGATTTTTGCTGAAGATCAAAAAAAAAAAAAAAAGTTTTTCAGAAATTCGAATGTTTCATTGACCAACAGTCATTTTCATCTTTCCGAAAAGTTTTTTTTTCGACACATACACAAAGGACGCATACGTTTTCCAATATCCGTTTTTTTTGTGGAAAGTTTTTCTCTTAAAATCGAAATTCCAAATATGTTAATCTAGCAAAAGAATGCAAAATCGACAACAACGAAAATTATCATCATCTCAACAACAACAACAACAACAACAAAATCGAAACATGATTCAACAACAACAACAACAATCAACATCACAAAATGATGCAAGAATAACTCGATCAAAAGATCGAAAAAATGTTAAAAAACAACAACAACAACAACAATCATCTATATTGCTAACAACGGATAAAAAATCCACAAAAAACTCAGGAAAACGACAAAAACAACAACAATTGGATTATGGAAAAATTCGTCGAACAGGTAAGAATTCTGATAATATCCAATTATGATGATGATGATGAAATGCTAAAAAAAAATTTGTAAAAAAAGAAAAAAAGAAAATTGAAAAGTTTGAATTTAATTAAATTAGCATTATCATCAAACAATCGAAATAAAAAATTTCAAATTCTTAATTTTGCCTGCAGGTAAATCAAATAGCAAAAATCAGAATTCAGCAAAAGTCAATCCAACAATAACAACAACAAATATCCGAGCTACAAATCGTCATCGAAAAACTAATCATCATCATCGAGATTGTTCCACAGAAACAAAGGATTTGTCATCAACGTCGTCGTCTTCATCAACATTGACAAATGAATCGCGCACAAATTTAAACAAGTAAAATTTTTTCAAATTAATAAATTATTTAGTTTTATTAATATTGAATTTTTTTTTTCAATTTTCTTTTCCCCTTTGAAATTTTTTTCCGGGTCGTTTTCAATGGAAAAAAATCATTTGGAAACCAAAAAAAAGAAATTCCGGATTCATTACCTGTTTAGTATGTAATCAGACTAAATATTATTCTCATGTACAAAGACGTTATGGAATATTCAGGTTAGTTTTTTGAAATGATTTTTTTCAATTTAATTACGTTTTCTCTAATCAATCTCTCAATCTGTCACTGATTTAATGTTTGCTTAGCTGTGAACCATGTTTTAAATTTTTTTCTCGTTTTCTCAAAGAACCAAAACATTTTCAATGTAATGATAATGGTAAGATATTCATTCTATTATTGATTTGATTTGTTCAACGAAAACAAAAATCCATTTTCAATGTGTTTTAGGTGAATGTTTAATCGTATTAACCAATGATGATAATAATAACCAAGGTAAAAATGCTCAACGTTTGTCCAATGGTACTGGTGGTCGATGTAAAGCATGTTGGTTAAAATTATGTATTGAAAAATTTAAAATTGATTGCGATACACGTCGTACATTGATGGAAAAATATTGCCAAAAATCGGAAATTATTATTACTGTCGATAATAACAAATCGAAAACACCGGTTACAAACAAAAAACATAAAATTCTATTGCATCCAACTAAACGTCAAAAAGAAATGTTTAATAAAAAATCAAAGAAAACTAAAATTATTAATGATTCATCAACGAAAAAAACATCAACGATTGAAAATGATTCAAAAACAACAAAACAAGAAATATTTATGAAACGAAAAAAACACATTCATCAAGAATCGAATGAAAATAATAAACAAATTAATTTGCTGAAACTTCAATTCTCCAATGCGAATGAAATTTCATCAAATAATCATATGACAATGCCTTTGAATGTGGTTCAATCTTCGAAAGAAGAAATATCATCCAATCATTTTCCATATTCATCAACAAATTTTATTGATTGTGATTCAAATTATAAAATCGAACAAAATACAGCCATCAAAACAAATTTAGCTGAACCAATGAAAGCTGGTTCGAATGAATCGATGATAATATCTACAGCCGAAATGTTTGCAAATGATTATCAAATGGTTAAACGAACGGAAAATAAACAAACAAAAATAAATCCATTGCTCAATATGAAAAATTTAGCCGAAGAAATTACAAATAATGAATTGAATGTTGAAAAATCTCGATGGTTAATTGATGATAAAAAGAAAATCAAAACATTGAACAATCAAAATTCTTCCGAAGCATTCATCATTTCGAATGGTTGTTATTTTCCAAATCAAAATAATCATCATCATTATGAAAATAAAAATACAATATCGACGAATAATAATAATAATAATAATAAGAAAAGTCGATGTAAAGAATGTGAAGGTTGTCGAGCACAAGATTGTGGCCAATGTAGTTATTGTTTGGATAAGAAAAAATTTGGTGGATCAAATGTAATCAAACAAGCATGTAAATATCGTATTTGTATTCGATTTCGTGGTGCTTCTCGCCGTCAACAGCAGCAGCAACAGAAAAATAATAATAATGTTAGTTTATCATTTATTAATCATCATAATCAACATCAACAACATTCATCGGGAGAATCATCATCACAATCATCACAATCAAGTTTTTCAATGTCAATGATTCCAAATTCATCTACATCATCTGCATCATCAGCATCATTTTTAAATAGTTTGGAATTTAATAACAACAACAACAGTAAAAATAGCAATAATAATGATAATGATATTAAAAATATAATCAGTTCAACTAATTGTAATAATAATCAACAATCCTGTTTCAATAATAATAATAATAATAATGGTGTAAATTTCTTTCCAACACCATCACCATCACATTCGAATGGCTCACCAAATTCAACGATTGTTCCAATATCATCATCATCATCAACAACAACATCGAATAACAGTACAAATATTGTGAATAATCATTGTAATTCAATGACACAATCATCATCACCAGAATCATTGCACTATTATTTAGAAAAAAGCAATAATCTAAATAGATATTTAAATCCAAATTTTGAAATGGTAACTGAATCTAGTCATCATCAACACCCTCATCACAATGATCCTCATTATCACCATCGTCATTATCATCCATATCTAGATCATGTAACACAAAATGGATCATCATATACATCACCATCATCATCATATAATTCACCGACAACAACAACAACAAATTATCCATTCTATTCAAATGATACATTATCATATAATAATCATCAGCCATCATCTTATTATCATCATCATCATCATCCAATAGCTCATTCCACTGATAATTTTAATGCACAATCAACATTCGATTTTTCATCAACAAATTTTACAAATAAATCTTGGTATGATTGTTCATCATCATCATCATCATCATATCAATCACCATCATCATGTACAACAGAATTTCAACAACAACATCAACAACAGTTAAATATTGATACATATGAGGTATGATTGAATTTTGAATTTATCATTTGTATCTAATCAATAAAAATTTATTTTAGTTTTTACCGAATGAGAATAATAACTGTTTATATCAAACTATGGGTGGCAGTAATTATGGTTCAACATTGATTGAATCGAATCATAATCATCAACAACAACAACATCATCAATATCCAGGAACATCTTATCAAGAATATAATGAAAATAATAATTGTTATTTCTAAATTATAACAATGTTAATTTTGAATATGAATTGTATAAAAAGTTGAAAAAAATTACATTACAATAAATAAAACAAAAAATGAAAACAAAAAAATTAATCGACAAGAAGTTTTAATGTAAGTGATATCTCATCGTCATCTTCAATATTTTTTGTTTCATTGGATTTCTTTTTGTCGACCATTATCTGTTCATGGTCATCATCCGATGAATCCTCTATCGTTATTGTAATTTGTTCATTTGATTGTTGTTGTTGTTGGTTATTGGATGATTCATTTATGTTGTTAGTAATCGACATAAGCTGTTGACTCGAAGATGGAATAACTACTTCTTCATCATCATCATTACTACTACTATCAACAATTTCAAAAGATTTACTTTTTTCATCATTCATATCGATTTCCATTTGACTATTATTCATATTTTGTTGTTGTTTGTCATTGTTTGATTCTTCCATAGTAATACCATCATCATTGACAATTTCTATGAGTGTTTTAAGCTGTTTACTGGATGAAGGAATAAGTTCCATATCTAATTCTTTTTCATCATCATCAATAGCTTTACGCTTTTGGTCATTTTCAAGATGATGATCAAAAATGATAGAATTTTCATCTGTTTCGGTTGAATTCAATTCTAACATTTCATTTTTTATCGGGATTCGTGATAAAAGTACATAATTGGTAAGATGAATTGTACTTGTGATTAGTTGTCGAATCTTGGAAGAATTTTCTAATCGATTTGCTTCTTCCATAACACTAATTATAGCTTCAAGTGGAACATCATTTTCAACATCAAGATTAATCAATATTAATCGAACAGTTTCCAATAATTCTTGACGACAAATATTTTTTTTATATGAATTATTTAAACAGAACCATTTTCGATATATTTGAAACAATGTAGGAATGACTAAATTCTGTATTTTTCGCCAAGATGATTTGTCCACGATGTTTGAGCTATTATTTATCAATGAATTAAGACAACGAATCGAATAAATAGTGTTGGATGAATCATCATCGAATGGAACGGATTCAATGATAGGGATTTTTTCAAGAATAAAATTAAGAATAATTTCAAATTCAGTATTAGATAAACAGGTATTCAAACGAAGAGTTTCGAAATAATCAGTTAAAAATTTCAGCACTGAACATCTTAGTTCGGAAAACAGATGTGATTGAGTGGAAATTGCCAATGGTTGTTGTTTCATCCATTCAATTGTAACATTAACAATATGAATAATTAATCGTGAATAGCAAAGAATATTTGATTGACAAGTAATAATTAATGCTCGTAATATGATGAAAACATTTTGTAAAATTATCGATGATGTATGAATGTTTGGTTCTTTTTTTTGTTGTGCATTTGTCGGTGATTTAGTTGTCGAAATGATCATCATCAAATTTAAACATTCAATAATTGCTTCAATTGGTAATGGTAATTTCATTTGAAATTGTCCTGTTATCGCCGAACAAAGAACAGCAGAAATAAAATATAATTTTTTTGTCATTGATAATGAATAATCGGACTTATTATCTGATATGAACATTTCTAATGGTCCGCTATCATTAAAGTAGAACATTTTTATCGGTTTCATTATATGTGAAAAAACTGGATGTTTTGCAAATGTCAAAAATGAATTGATAAGTTTAGAAATGATTTCACGCCATCGAGTCATCAATGCTGTAGGGCCAGATAGATAAATTTTGCAATAACAAAATCCCAATAACTTTAAAAGTTCGTGATTATCATTTTCTGATTGTTGAATTGAATCAACAAGTTGAAAGATTCGTTTTTCGATTGCTTGACGATTTGCAGCTATTAAGGTTGGAAATAATGTGGCCAATATACTTAAACAATTAGCAGCATAAACCACTTCATAAGAACGAAATTGCATCAAACGTTTGATCATGTTCGGGATAATTGTTAGGCCCAATTCTCGAGTAAAATTTGGTATATTTACATCATATATTTTAATCAAAATTTGATTCAAAGCTCGTATACATAAAATCTGATCATCCTGGTCATTCGATGTTTCCAAATTTTTCACAAGATTTTGTAATAGAAATAGTACATGTTCCAGGAACAAATCAGTGTCGATATGTGGAATAATTTTATCCAATAAAATGACAGCCAATCGTCTTTATCATAAAGAAATGGAATAAAACTTCAAAAATTTAAAATCAAAATAAATGAAAATTATTACCTATCACCCGAAATCAAATTTGATTTGATATCTTTTAATTGAGATTTGTATTTATCCGATAAAGAAATCTCAAAATGGTTTGAATCCATGATGAAAAGTGATTCGAAATTTTAACAGAATCCAAAACACGTGAGGATCTAAAAATGCGTGAATTTCGAGATTCGGTCTTCTAAACGATATATCGATAGTATCGAAGTTATAGCAATATGGATCATAAATCCAAAATAATGGAAACATTTGTTTTAGATCCAAATTTAATTCAAATCTGTTTTGATGAAGCAGAAAAAGGCCTAAAAAATGGTGAAGTTCCTGTAGGTTGTTTGTTTATTATCGAAGATCAAAATGGTAGCCAACAAATTCTAGCTAAATCTCATAATCGAAGCAATGAATTTAAAAGCGCTTTGAAACATGCTGAATTTGATTGTATCAATCAGATTGTTGAACAATATCCAGAAAATTATGATGAAATTTTTAAAAAAACAATTGTAGTCTTAACTCTTGAACCATGTATTATGTGTTGTCGGGCTTTAAGACGATTACAAGTGAAAGCAGTTTTATATGGAGCTCAAAATGAACGTTTTGGTGGTGCCGGTTCGGTAATGTCGGTACATTCAAATCCTCGATTAAATGATCCAGTTTTGAATTGTATATCAGGATCATTGGATGCCGAAAAATCTATTGCATTATTGAAACGTTTCTATGATCAAACTAATGAAAATGCTCCTAAGGATAAAGTGAAAATTAAAAAATCGACCTCTAATCTAATTAATGACGAATCGAATAAAAACCAAAGCCACAGTTCAGAACAATCAACGCACAAATGACTTTTTTTATATCGTTCAGCAAAAAACTTTTTACCACTAATCTAAACGATTATCAAACTATCGGTTCGATCAATGCTCCAAATGATACATTATATCGAACGATTTTCAAACCACTTCAAATAACTTGCTTATTACGACGTATCAATCTAATTGATTCAAATCTTGATCTTTTAGAAAATGAGAACGATATTGACAAGATGATTGAACATCCTAACATAATCGAAATGTTTGTTAGTTTTATACAGAATGATATGCTTTATACGATATTTCCTTACTCAGAATATTCATCGGTCGATATACTTTGTAAACCGTTTGGACTTGAAGAAAAAGTTATTTTATTCATATTACAAGATATATTAAAAGCTGTTGATTATCTACACCGTAATAACATTGTCCATCGGTAAGTTTTATTTAATAATTCCAATGATGAAATAATCTGAAAAAAATATTACTCGTTTATTGTTAAACAGAGCCATAAAAGGTTCACATGTATTGATTTTTGGACATTGGAAAACATCAATCAAATTTGTTCTTTCTGGTCTCAAATATTCGTGTCATGTTGATACGGTTGATGAACTGAAACTATTCAAATATCCAAAAAATGCTTCCAGTTTATTAACAAGTTTAGCACCTGAAGTACTTGAACAAAATATTCTTGGTTATACTTTCAAATCGGATATCTATTCATTGGGAATTCTGTGCTGTGAATTAGCAAATGGTGTTGTACCATTTGATAATATGTCATCGGATGAATTATTATTCTATAAAATTATTGGCGATATTCCTAAACCATTAGATTCATCGTGTGAAGAGATGAACATTTTTAACGAACTAATGGATCGTTTAGAGCTTACATTGAAACGTCGTTATCAAGTTTATAGACAACGAACTTTTAGTTCAATATTTCATGATTTTACACAAAAATGTTTACATTTAGAACCAGTACGTCGTCCAACGGCCATGAATTTATTGGAACATCCTTTTATCAGCAGAAATAAAGAACAAGATAACAATTTAATACAAAAAAGAGATGAAATTTTAAAAGAATTTTTTTCATCTAAATTTTAAAAAATTCAATTTATTCATAAAAAACGTTACAAAATCAAAATAAATTCTCATGTGTGTCTTGAATTTTGGATTCTGTTTCTGATTTACGATAATGTTTAATTTACGAAATTCATTGTTTTTTAGAGTTTTTTATATTACAAAAGTATTCAATTCTACTTCTGCTTTACCACATAATCAATTGATAGAATCGACAGGTCGAATTTTCGTAAAGGTTTCTAAATATAATTGGTATTTTTTCATTTTTTTACGAATTTGGTATTGTTTTTTTTCTAGGATAAATATCGAAAATTTATCGATCAGATACGGATAACTGTTTCGGGTGGTGCCGGTGGTAATGGTTATCCAAAATTTCAAGGATTAGGTGGCAATGGTGGAAATGTTTGTCTTGTTGCTAATGCTAATGTTAAATTGAATGATTTGCAAAAATCGAATGCAAGATTCCGTGCTGGTGATGGTCAACATAGTTCACGTAATTCTGTTATCGGTCAGAATGGAAAAGATTTGGAGATTAAAGTACCGGTTGGCATCACAGTCATTGTAGATGAATATAAAAAAGAAATTGCTCATCTTGATCAACCAGGCGACAAAGTGATTGTTGCTTTTGGTGGCCGTGGTGGTGATAAAACAAATTCCTATTTTGGTACAAAAGGACAAAAAATGGCCATTAAATTAGATCTGAAATTATTAGCCGATGTAGGACTAGTCGGATATCCGAATGCAGGTAAATCAACTTTGTTGCGGGCATTATCACGTGCATCACCAAAAATCGCTAACTATCCATTCACAACAATACAACCGAATCTTGGTGTAATTGAATATGATCCACCTAAAGCAGTACAATTGTATAATGATCGGTCAAAAGTAAAAGATAAATCTGAATTTTATGATCAAGATTATCGTCGAATAACTGTTGCTGATCTACCGGGTTTGATTGAAGGTGCACATCGAAACATTGGATTAGGACATAAATTTCTTAAACATATTGTTCGAACAAATTTATTGCTATTTGTTGTTGATATTGATGGATTTCGTAATTCGGGTGGTCGCCATTATCATCGTTCATGGTGTTCACATGAACCAATCGAAGTAATACAATCACTGATTAATGAAATTGATCTTTTTGATGAAGAAATACTTGAACAAAAATCATCAATTTTAGCCATAACTAAATTGGATAATTCCGAAAAACGTGAGCAATTCAATAGATTTATAGAAATTTTACAACAAACAAATTTAAATATACCGTCTACGGTTGAAAAAGAAAATTTAATTAAAAAAAGTAATAAACAGTCATCAATGAATGTAAATAGTGATAATTCGAATCAACAATCAATCGAACATCATATGATCAATGATAATGATACAACATTAATTATGGATCATAATCCACCGGATCCAACGGGATATAAATTTGATAAAATAATTGGTATATCTTCACTAACTGGTTATAATATTGATCAACTGAAAGGGTTAATTCGTAAATTGATCGATATGAATGCTGAAAATAATAGACAATGTAAATTGAAAATGCAAAATTGTTGATTTAAATAAATTTTCATCATAAAATTAAACATAAAATGTAACAAATTGTTTTTTTTTTGTTGTCCAAATCGTTCATTGAGTTTAAAAATTTTATTGTTGTTGTTGTTTACCAATTTTTTTGTTTTTCATGGTCGAAGCAATAAAGAGATGATGGTAACGTGATGGAATTGACAAATATTTGACCCCGAAAATCAAATGACAAATAAACAATAAAAAAAATTATCAGAAAATTTTTCTTTCTTTGTAAATTTGTTTATGGACTTTAATCAATGAGGGGAAGATTTAGATTTTAGATTATGCAGAAAAAGATGATTGTTTAGATTGTTTTTTTATTGAATTGTTCTTTATAATCATTATAAAATCTTAATTAGACAGATTTTTGACATTCCAAAGCCATTTCCGATTAAATGTCAAAAATGTCGATAAGTACCTGTAGAAAAAATTTTAATCAAAAATATTTTGTCCTGTGGTTCAACATAAAGTTTTCTGATAATGATTCTCAACAACAGCATCGAAATGGTAATGAAAAAAAATTGGGCATATTATGGATTCAATCATGGCAACATCGTTATCTTGTTGTTGGTTATGTTCAATCGAATAGTATTGCTGCACGAATTGGTCTTAAACATGGTGATCGTCTTGGTTATTTAAATGGAATCGTTGCGCCAAAAATTAAACATATTGAAAATTTCTTCTCAGATAATAATAATGATACATGTACACTTCGTTTGGGTATACTACGTAAACATGATCCAATTATGTTTAATCTCTTACAAATCAAATCCAATTTACTTACTGATAATAATAATAATAATGATGATGCTAAACAATCAGATCAGAAGGTTAAAAATGACGTAAATGATGGTATCGAACATTCCAATAATAAATCAAAAGAAGATAATCAAAAAAACTTACGATATTTTTTTGTTGCACAAAGTTGTTATGAAAATTTAAAAGAACCAGAATTATATGATGAAAATATATTATCATCAGCAATTAAGAACAAGAATAATAATAATTGTTCATATTGTTATTCACTGAATTCATCAATAACAAGTTTTAGTCCAACAAAACAATCAACACCAATTATTGACGATCGAAGTAATTGTAGTCAAAATAAAAATCTTCAAGAAGCTGGTTCAACATTTATAAAAAATAAGGAAAATTATCAGCCAATTTTTATTGATGATAAAAATGTTTCAAAACAAAAACAAAAACAACAACAACAAATGAATGAAAGCTGTTCTTTTCATTGTACAAATAAAAAACGTCCCGAAATACAGAAATTGCTTAAAACATATGAATTGGTATCGTATGAGAAAAAACTTTATCATAAATATCCGGATACAATGGTTAAACCGAAAATTGATAAACATGTTAAATCACAACGTGTATTACGTAATGTTCAGAAACAGAATTGAAATCCAAAAAATTGTTTTTAATTGAAAAATTTTTATTTATTTATATTACAAATGATGATGTTAAAGAATCTTTTTTCCAAATGTTTAAACATTCGAATCTTTGAATTCGAATTATTTTTTTTCAAATAAATCCCATTCACAAAGTACGTTTCATTCGTAAAAAAAAGTATGTCGCAATTGTTTTGCTTGTTTTTTTTTGCTCTTTTTGGCTCGAAAAATATTGTATCCAATATTCAACAAGTTGTAGATTTCAAATTCATTCAACCGTAATTGTGAAAAAACACCCATCGTTTTTTTTTGCTTTCATTATTCATTGAACCAGCAATGAAAAGAAAAAACCATAATAACGAATTGATCATTCGATCATGGACCAGTGAAATTGATGAAAAACCAAACCAAATCAAATCATGAAATTTGATGATGATCATAATCAAAATGATCAAATGAATGAATGAATGAATGAAGAAAATTTCGACTAATCTTATCGATTGTATTTAAGCTTAGATAGCTTCCGTATGTTGTATTTTTTTATGCAACAAGTTGTGTATGCGTATTATGTTTATGTTTGGTAAATATACGTTTGTCTGAATCAAACATAGATAACTTCTTAATAATCAATCTTTTTTTTATTGATTTTTTTTTGTTTTTCAATCAACATATTTACTTGGGTTTTTTTTCACCACCCCAAACCATATTTATATGTTTGTTTTTTGTTTGTTTTGTTTGTTTTTTAGTTAAACGGTGAGCAAAAACATTGTCAACTAAAAAAAATTAATATAATTAGAAAATTCCAATATTCAATGATCAATCGATTCATCTAAACTCCCGAACATTGATATTTATGGTTTTATTGAACTGAAAATTTGTTTGTTTCTTCTTCACCAAATTATTTGTTTATGTTTTGGTAAACCGAATCAGAAAAATCGCTTCTGGATTTTGTTGTTTCTACAGAAATTTTTTCTTTTTCATTTCCTGATTATGGCAATGAGCTTGAAATTTTTTTAAACAAACCTTTCATTCATCATCATCATCATCATTCATATATAAATATCATTGCAAATTGTAATAGAATCATTTTGTTTCACCACGAAAAAAATTGAAATATCAACCCGATTTCAACCCAAAAAAGTGTTCACATTGAAAAAAATTTCCATTTTTTTGAAATAGCTGTTGTAATTAGTGATATGTAAATTAACAAAATTTCATCGTCATCATTTTGTTGGTGGTAATTTTCCTCATTTTTTCATTTGAAACAACATTTGTTTCCATCAGAAACCCTGACCATCAAAAAACCGTGAAAAAAACTCATCATCATTCTATTACATTCTAGAACAAAACAAAAAACATAATCAAAACTAAACGATCAAATCAATTTAAAAATAATATAACCATCATCATAAAGATATGATAGTAGGTAAGACCTTCGAGAAAAAACACTAAATGTTTCTTTTACCCAAAAAAAACCAAAATTTTTTTCTCATTTTATCTTAATCATATCATTTCATTTCATTTAGAACATGTAACGAAAATTTCAACAATCTTAAACTGATATTTATATCCGGTGACTATAATACTGGTGATATGAAAAAAACCATATGCAAAAAATGATTGAATGAATGAATGAAAACAAAAACAAATCAAATCATCACACACAAAAACCTGTATTGATCGAATCAGAAAATCAAATAATCATTTGGATAACTACTATTTTACTACATCATTATTTCTCAATCTCTACTAAATTCAATCTGTGATCTTTTTTAAACTTATCTTTTTCGAATTTTTTAATCACGCAATATTGTTATATGATTGGAAAGAAAGAGAAAAAAAAACAATTAACGAAAATTAGTCAAATAATTAAAGGCGGATTGTTGGAAGAAAAAAATTTTGATAATTTTACGAAAATTAATGAACAAATTATTTCGAACAAAAGAGTTCAGTTTAGGAATAAAAAAAAATGAAACTAATTTCATCAATCAATAATATTGATAATGTACAATATGATGATAATGATAATAATGATAATCATTATGATAATCAACAACGGTCATCATCATCATCATCAATAATGATTAATCAACAAATTGAACATGCAATTGATAGAATGGTTAGTGAAGCTGTTGAAAGATTATCTGATGAATCGGATGAACAGCAACAACAACAACAACAACAACAACAAAAGCAGCCAAAAAAATGGCAACAACATGGCCATGAGAATAGCCAGAGAAAATTCATTAATATTAACGATAAAAATGATGCCTATATTCTAGATGATGATGATGATGATTGCGAAAATGATATTAATGATGATGATGAAAAACAACAACTTTTACCAAAAAATAGTCGAAAAAATGCAAAAATACGTAGCGTCAATCAACAACGTATCAATAATAATAACAATAAAAATATTAATGATGATGTTGATGATGATGATGATGGCGCCAATAATGCGTTGTCGCAACGCCACCATCAAAAACAGCCAATGAAAACAAAACAACAAAAGCAACGACTATTGCAGCAACAACAACAACACCGACAATCGAAAAAAAGTAGTCCCTCCGACCACCGCAGTCGACAGCCGCCTTCTTCCAACAACATCGAATCTTGCATCGACCGAGCAAATAAATTTACAGCCGAAAACAACTATACAGACATTGTTAATGAAAACATCATGGGTATCACACCGTATTTAGAATCATCCGCAAATAATAATAATGATAATGATAGTAATAATGGATCGAAAACAAATGTTACCGGTAGTAATGTTGAATGTGGTCCAAAATTTAATTGGTATATTTATTTGGTGACAATATTATCGGCAATCGGTGGTTTCCTGTTTGGTTATGATACCGGAATAGTTTCTGGAGCAATGGTTTTTATTCGGTATGTTTTCATATTTTTTTTTTCTTCTTTCAATTTTCTCTTATTTCATATTCGAGTGTTCCAATAAACAAAACAAACTTTTTAGTTTCTTACTGTTAATTCTATATAACTTTCGAATTTAGCTATATCATTTTTTAAATTTTCTTATTTAAGTTACCCTCATTCATTTTGTTGCAGCCATATTTGAATAACACTTAACAATGCTACTAGGCTCTTTTTTCATTTGATTCGAGAATAAAAAAAATAAACCAAGACAAATTCATGGCTATATTCTTCTTCTTGGTTGATTTGCGCAATTTTTTTCATTTGCTATCAATCCATTATTCGGTCAGTCGGTCAGAATTTATATAGAAGATTTTCATTCAAAAAAAGAAAATAGGTTGAAAAAAACTAGGACATTCTTTGCATTTTTTTCAAATCATCAGATCAATCGATCGATAGATTTATTGATTGCACATTTTGTTTTGAAAAAAATCAATCAAAATATTGATATTTGGATGTTTTCTGTTGTTGCTATTGTTTTATTTGTTAAAATGAAACAATAACAGAAAGAAAAAATTTTTTTAAAACATAAACAAAATTGTTTCAAATATCATCGCATTTGGAAAAATTTTTTAAAAATTAATAAGCGATGATAATTGATCCATAACTTTAGTGAAATATTATTAATGATTTTTTCATTCATTCCAATCGAATTTTTTCATTATTTTTTTACGAAAAAAAAATCAATCACCATGGATGAAAGAAGAGAAAGAATGATCATCTTTCCATCGATTAATGCAATCGATTCATCTAATCAAATCAAATAAACATTCAATATGATTATTATGATTATGGCATTTTGTATATTTTAGGAATGTTTTTGGAAACAAAAGCAAAAGCAAAAAAGCATGATTTTTTCTTTTTCCAATAAATTAATGCAGTGAAGATGAAATTCTTTTAAAAGAATTTTTTTTTTTGCTTTCTAATTATTTATGGATTTTTTTTCTCTCTTTTTTGAAAAATCAAAAAGAAATGGTTTTCAAAATAGAAATTTTTTTTTTGTTTGACAAAAAAATGTTTTATGTCTCTTTTTTCACTATCGAAAATATACATTTACATCTGTCATTCATTGTTTTTTCACCCGAACAAAACTAAACGTGATTTGAGATGGTAGAAATTTTTTTTTCCGTTTGTATGTGTTCAAATGTCAAGATGGTTGTAATAACAACCCATCCATGGCCATAATAATAATAATGATGATGATGATGATGATGGGGAGATGAGAAAAAAGAGTAAAGATAATTTATTATTGTTATTCATAATGATTATGACTTTTTTGTTCACATTTCATCTTTCCCTCTTTTATTTCTCTTCCCATCATCATTATTTCATTTTTAGTTTCTATAGTTGTCCTCGACAAATATTAACCTTGACATTAGACGGTCATCATCATTATTATTGAAATTGTCATCCACCAATGTTGCATTGATAGTGATGATCGAAAAATTTGATTATTTATAGATTCAATATCGATCAAATTTATTTTATCAATGAATTTCCTTATTTTTGTACAAAATCTATATGTGCAAAAAAACAATGGCAACAAATTGCATAAATATCCTGTGTTATTGGTGTTCGAGACAAAAAAAAACAAAAACAATATTTAAATGTGAAAAATAATAACTTTTTTTCTGTGAATAATAATTCTTTCTATGCAAAATGAAGGGGGAGGTTATGTCTATAAATTTTTTGTTTCGAATCTGAATTGTGAAAAAAAACCTATTGAAGAATTTGCATCACAAATTTTGTTTTACTGGAAAAATGATAATGATAATGATGTTTATTGTTTTTTTTCTTTGGTTGTTAGTGTAATATGATAATATGGCTGTTGTCGTTAACCTTGAACATGAATTATTTTCCCCTTTACATTTACCATCATTATGTTGATGATGATAATGGTTTTTGGTTGCCGTATTTATGAATTCAAAATGGACTTGTTGTTTTTTTCACTCACTCTTTCTCTCTCTCTCTCCTGTCAATTTTTTTTCTTTTTAGTTGCCATTCATTATTCAATAGTTTTCTCTTTCACTTTTTTTTGTTTTGGTTCAACCAACCCAAAGTAAAGTGTTCAATCTGTGTGTTAAGCTAGATGTTTAGATGATATTCTCTATTATTCATGAGTGTTATTGATCGGTTAATTTAATAATCGATAAAAAGCTATTTTGAATTTGAAGTTTATTTAATGATTGATTCCGGGTGTCAAAGGTGTGTGTTTTTCTCTCAAATATATATTTTCATAAAATGTCGATGTACTTTTAGGAGATAAGAAAAATTTTCCATAGAATTTTGATTTGTCTAATGCGGAGATTTATCAAAAAAAAAAATGATATTGGATTTTGATTGATTAATTGTTTCAATTTTGTTTTTTTGGTAAAAACAAAAATTAGGATTATGGTAATTAAAAATTATTATGGTAATAAAAACTAATTTAAAATGAACAGATTATAATCATAATGTTAATAAAAAATAATTAGATATAAATGTGTAGATGTAGTTTGGAGGGAAAGAAAGAAAAAAAATGTTAATTATATTTTTCTCTTCCATCACACTTATCAATCAATCATCATCATCATCATCTAATCATGACAGATTTTTTTTCAAGGTGCTAATGGAAAAATTTTTTTCTGTCTTTCTGTTTGTTTTGAAATTGATGATATATTTGTTTTATTATGCAAATGAATATATCAATCAGAATAGGAAACTCGAATGAAAATAGGAATTTGGAAATAAGATTTTTTCAATCAAAATGATAAATTTTAAATATTTTAAAAAATTCATTTTTTATAAAGGGATTATTTCCATCTAAGTACAACCATGCAAGAGGTTGTCATTTCGGTAACCATATTGACAGCATGGATATTTTCATTTATCGCCGGTTATTTAACAAATAAATTTGGACGAAAATTAACAATAATATTAGCATCATTTATATTCACTATTGGTGGTTTTTTGATGGCATTAGCACATACACAATATGTTTTATTATTAGGTCGTGCTATTGTTGGTTTAGCCATTGGTTTAGCATCAATGGCCATACCGGTTTATATTGCCGAAGTAGCACCAGTTGATATTCGTGGTAAATTAGTTTCTACAAATGTTTGTTTCATTACATTTGGACAATTTGTTGCATCAATTGTTGCTGGTTTATTCAGTTATGATCCAATTAATGGCTGGCGTTGGATGTTAGGTAAGTTATTATCATTTTTATTTTATTTAAATAAAATGAAATAAAAATTAAGTTTCACCCAGTAAAAACTAATAAATAGCCAGATGTCTTTTTTTTCATCTTGGTGTGTGAGTGTTAGTTTATACATCCTTAATGTCCTTGATAAGCTTTTTGGTAATTTTGTTTTTTTTTAAACAATTTAGGTCTAGCATCTGTACCATCCATATTACAAATGATATTTTTTTTCTTTCTACCCGAATCACCTCGTTGGCTTGTACAAAAAGGACGCTATGATGAAGCATTAAATGCTTTACGTAAATTTCGTACTGCCGATACAAGAGAAGATAACATTGTGATAGAATTCAATAATATCAAATCAAGTTGTTTAAGTAGTGAACGTGAACGAAAAAATAATACATCAATCAGCCAAATTTTATCGAATCCGACTCTAATGAAGGCATTATTTGTTGGATCTATGTTATCAATATTTCAACAAATTGCTGGTATTAATACGGTTATGTATTATAGTGCTACAATTATACAAATGTCCGGTATCAATGATAAATCTACAGCTGTTTGGCTTTCAGCATTGACTGCATCGATCAATTTTATATTTTCATTTGTTGGCCTAGTTCTTGTCGAACGAATTGGTCGTCGATTATTAATATTAAGTAGTCTTTGTGGTGTTGTATTTTCATTATTTATGTTAGCCATCGGTTTTCAATTGGCTGAAGTTAATTCACCTCCAATAACATTCCATACGGATGATCCAATTTCTGATTATTGTTCACGTATGGCAAATTGTGATGCATGTGTTTCATCAAATATTTGTGGCTTTTGTTTCTTTGATGATCATTCCAATTTGTTGGGCTCCCTATCCATGTCAAACATTAATGGTACTTGTTTACCTATGAATCAAACATCGAATTTACCATTCAGTAAGTTTTTTAAAATTGAAATTTTTTCTATTTGACATTAACACTGTTTTTTCTATCTTTCTTTTATAAAGGCAATAGTTCCTATTGTACGAATAGTACTAATATATCGATGCATTGGACACATGAATGGTGTCCATCACAATATTCATGGATGACATTAGCCGGTTTAATGCTTTATCTTTTCTTTTTTGCACCCGGTATGGGACCTATGCCATGGACAATTAATTCGGAAATCTATCCTCTTTGGGCCAGAAGGTAATTGATTAATTGCTTATTATCAAAAATTGATGAACTTTTTTTTTGCTAACTCGATTCGAAAATAGTTTCTGTTATTCAGTATCAACATCATTCAATTGGTTCTTCAACCTATTGGTTTCGCTCACATTTTTAACATTAACAAATCTGTTAACAATCTATGGTGCCTTCTATCTATATGCTGGTTTAGCTTTTTTTGGTCTGGTTATGTTCTTTTTTATATTACCCGAAACCAAAGGCAAAAAACTTGAAGAAATAGAATGCCTATTTCAAGGATCATTATTTACAATGGGCTTAAATAAAAATATATCACAATATGATCAAGTTGATGGATCAGTCAATGCAAGTCAATCTACGGTTGTGACAAATGCTTCAAATGAATCAAATGCCGCTGTTACCGGTGCTGGTACAGTGACAATCATTTGAAACAATCTCATAATTGAATTTTTTTAAAAGTATTTTTATATTTTGATTCTATCAAAAAAGAAACGATGTATCCCGGACCAATTGTTAAAAAAATTGTTTTTTTTACAATTTTTTCACCACTTATTGTTGGCAGCAATTTGATGACCAAAACTGATTTTTTGATTTGATTTGAACAAAACTGTGATCGAAAAATTGGATTAACCAAACCCCCTTTTTTCAATATCTCGATATTTTGGCTACGTATACATATTTAATTTGATTTGTCTTTTTATTGTTTTAACACTTTTATTTTATTTTATTTTTTATTTTTAAATTATTATCATGAGAATTGGCTGTTTTTTTTACTCTGAATCTTTATTTTCAAATCCTTTTTTTTAGACAATTTATTTCGCTAAATAGTGAATTTTATTTTTTTATGAAAAATCAATAAAAGTAATCACAGAGCAAAACCATGACTCAGATAATTTGATCAATGTGATGATTCGACAGTAATTTTTTTTTTTTCGTTGGTTTTACTTAGTCCGCCGAATTCGTATTAAAAATTTTGAAATTTTTTATCTACTCATTTCGGACACTAGATGGAAGCATAAAACAATTTTAAAGTAAAAAAAAACGAAAAGTTAAATGAAAGTTCATCAAATTTTCGGTTTATTAAAACAAAGTAATGAGGTGATAAAAAAATGTTTACATGATTTTTGTTGTTGGAAACATGAATGAAATTTAGTTGATTATAAAAAAAAATTTTCAATCGTCCATAGGCTCGGTTTGATGTTTCTTTTTCTTTTTCTTCTTTTTCTCTTTAACATCGGATACCGCTTCTTGTCCATCACCATCATCATCATCGCCACCGTCAGCTTGGTGAAGGAAATCTTGTTTGATTTCTTGTGCTTTTGATTTATTCATATCCTCATCTTGTGGTTGGATTTTCATTGGCAATTTACCAATCTTTTCATACCATTCTTTTGGTGTTTGATCATTTGGTTGGCCCTTTTTATCTAACATTCCATCTTTGATTAATTTTTTCTTGAATGATGCAACTGGTCCTAATCCCCATTTACGTGGATATGTATCACGTTCCATAACAACACGTTTGATTTTGGCAACAACACCATGATCACAGCACATAATTGTTGAAGTTGTCATCAATGCAATTGCTAGAAATGTAAAGCTTTATTAGTAACAAAGAAAAATTTGAAATTCATTCTCAACAAACCTAAACAAACGGCTTCGCCTTTAGTGGTGACGATAACAATTTCTTCATTCATTTCAATATCATCATCGTATCGAAGAACACCAGGTAACATGATTTTAGCACCATAACATACGGCATTTACAGCCGTATCTTTGATTATAATTCGTTTATGACCTACTAATAATGCTTCCAATGGTTTGACAACTAATCGTAACAAAGATTCATCTTTATGGTGATCAAATTGATACATAGCATCGACCAAGTCATGCATTGTAACCATGCCTTCGGATTCACTTTGGATGCCAGATCTAACACGACGAAGCTCTTGCATTTGACCAGATACTCCCAACAACAATCCCAAATGAACACATAATGTTCGGACATAAGTCCCGGCTTCACAATTTAGCCAAAGAATGCCTAGATTTGCTTTCTCATTGAATTCGAGTAATTTACTTTCATAGATATTACGAATACGAAGTTGACGTTTAACTGCTGAAATCAGTGGTGGTCGTTGGAAAAGAGCGCCAGTTAATTGTTGAACAGCTTTGGCCACAGTAGCTCTGCCGCCCGGAACTTCGGAATGCAATCGTAAAACAGCTACATATTCTTTGCCGGCATTCTGTTGACTTTTAACAAGCCGCGTGGCACGATCAATACAAACAATCAAACAGCCAGATACTTTTGGATCAAGTGTACCACTGTGACCAGTTTTCTCTACACGTAATATACGCTTAATCCAAGCTACAACTTCATGAGATGAAGGATTGGATGGTTTATCCAGATTAATAAAACCCGATTTAAGATATTCTTTAATTGTTCTTTTATTTGGTGAACAACCGAATGGTAATGGAGTAAAGTGATGAGCTCGTACATTCATACGATCCAAATTCTTCAACAATAATGGCCATTTTTCAGATAAAATTTTTGGTGGTTTTGATTCTGGTTGCAGGGAAAAGTCCGCAGTATCATCCATTACTGAATCATTATGAGAATGTTTCTTTTTACCGGATTTTTTCCCAACTTTTTAATAAAAATTCCAAATTTAATAATGATCAAAATTCTTAATTTAAATAACTTACAATCGATTTCCATGATAGTATCGAATTCACCAAAAAAATGACCGATGACAATAAAAGCGAAAAAAATAAGAGAATTCAAATCAGTCACGCATAAAAAATGATGTCGGATGGATCTTCAAAATAAAAATTCCATGCTGCTTGCAAACAGTATTGCGCATGTATATTTACATGCTTTCATACCATCCATAAAATCAATGACTCATATTTTGAGCCAAGAATTTCAGTCATTACAATTGTCAATTATTTACAATCAGATTATCTTTTTAAAATTATTTAGGCTACAAATCCATTATTTGTTTTACGAATTTTACAATGGCAGCTTTTCCCAAAGAATCAATCAATAAAACAATACAACAAGATTGGGCTAATCGTGAATATATTGAAATCATAACGGGCAGCATTAAAAAAATTGCCGATTTTCTTAATTCTTTTGGTATTTAATCGGTTTTTTTTCGAAATTTCATTTTTAAAAATAATTTCATTTTAATATTTTTGAAATAGATCGTTCATGTCGTGGTCGTTTAGCAGAATTGAATGAAAAATTAACAAGCCTCGAACGTAGTATCGAACATTTTGAGGCAAAAGTTTCCAATAGTGAATTAGCACAACAGCAGCAACCTCAACAATCGAATTCCAATGTTAATACAACAATTATGGCAACTAATAAACCTTCAACATGATTTTTTAATCAAATAAAATTTTTATTTCGAAAATTTATTATAATCATTCAAACATTTCAATAATAACATTAATTTATAACTGGATATTCCGCGAAACATACAACACCGAATTTGAATTACATTTACAAATTATTAAAATAAATGAATCCTATACATTGAATATTGAATATTATTTTGAAATAATTTAGTGGTAATTTAGTTGTAATTATCTTTAAATCATAATTTTTCATCATTTGAAATAACATTCTTCCACGATGATCATTCCTATTATTCTTCCAAAATTCATCAAATAGTCGCCGCTTAAAAAAGAAAAGGTTATTTTAAAAAAAAATTGAAACAAAACTTACAGATCAATCGGTGATTGCTGTGATTGTTCGACTAAAGAAGATTCTTGGTGAATCGATGTTAATTTTCTATTTTTCATAGCTATTTCAACCTTAAATTGAATGTTTGGGTAAAAATAGAACTATAGTGAAAAAAAGAAAAAAACGACTATTTATGTCGTTTCCTTTTTTTTGAGCACACCATACGAAGTTTCGTCATCGTCATGTTCATTTAGAAAATCATCACAAATGATCACATTAATGGAACTCTTGATTAATTTCTTTTGTTTAATTTTTAGGAAACGATCGGCTGCAACTAATTAATTTAGTACGTGATAATAACTGTTATCAGCCATACCTTTCTTCTTTAATTACCGAAAGAATTAAACGTGATAAACTATGGATAAAAATCGCCGATGAAATGAATTGGTCAAATAAGTTAATATAAAATAAAAGATTTTAATAAAATTTATCTATGAAAAAAATAGAAGATAAAGTAAAGGACGAATGGACAAAAATCCGAAAAAATTACGTTCGCCATCTAAATCGAAGAATGGTTAAAAAAATGAAAATTCAATACCCGGAATTAGAATTTCTTAAGGAAGTTATTCCAAATTTCCGTGAATTCTCTGAACAATCGTATACGTTTTGTTTTATTTTTTTTTTTTTTAATAATAACCTACGAAAAAATAATTTATCGATCGAAAAAATCTCAGAAATAATAAAAGAATTTAACATCGATCTATGTTTAATACAAGAACCACCAGTTCAATTTGATTGTCATCAAATTTGCTGTGATTGTTCGACCAAAGACTATTGGTACTTGATATACTGTTGCGTTGTACATTGATTTCAATTCTTTTGATAATATGTCATATTTTCTCGCCTTTTCTGTTTCTGTTTCCTTTAGTCATATTTTTTAAAATTGTACAATTAAAAAAATGTAATATAATAAATATTTTTGTCTTTTCATTTATTTTGTGTATTTTCTTTGATTTAATTCATATTCGAAAATTCGATTCAAAATTCGAAAATTCTAAATGCTTTAGCAAATCATCCTACATCATCCTATCATATATGATATGAATAAGAGGACAATCTAAAAGGTTTATTCACTTGTTAATTTCTACTGAGAAAACGTGATTTACTTTCACTAATTTTCAATTACGAAATTTAAAAAATTAAAAAAAAAATTTCAATTATGAGTAACTACAATTTTAAGGGTGATACATCAGATGATTCTGAGAATGATAAAAATGGCGATTCTAAACACGACGAGGACGAAGTGGAAAAATCAGCCAAAGAAAAAAAATAATAAAGGTAAGAAAAAAAATTACTAAAAATTATTAATAATGAAAATTTATTTTTTGTATTTTCGAAAAAAAATGTTTAGAAAATACGAATGGAGAACAATTTAAATTTAGTAAGTAGAATTGACTGAAATTACTATAGTAGAATGTAAAACTAAAAATATTTGATTTTTTAGGAATTCGTTTCAAATTATTTTGATAAAAATCGAAGGAATTTTATGCCCGAGAGGTATCAATTTCCAACATTTGATTCCCGAACCGAAAATTGGTTTAAATATTTGAATCGTATTCCCGTTGATATGGATTGTGAAGAACAATTCAAAAACGATATTATCAAAATAATCAACAAAATTCATGAAGATTTAGTTGGAGACAACAAGTTATTTATAAATTATCTCCCTGATACCGAATTTTGAAAATTGTTTTCCAAGCTGATTGAAAAATACCCAGGAATTCGTGAGCATTTCAATCGTGTTTTAATGCAAAATCTGGTCAAAAAAATGACCCATTGATGGTAAGATAATTTTTGATAATTAAAAATTGAATCAATTATCATTAATATCTTTTCATTTCTTCTGAACAATAGGCTTATTTGATAAGCAAAGTAAGGAACAACAAATCATCAATTAATCAACGTGAAAAACGACAACAAAAAAAAAGAATTACCACGACTATCGTCGAAGTCCAATTGAATGAAGAACTCTTCGATAAATAAAAATCGATCGGGAACATCATCAAAAAATCAAAAAAAAAAAAAAAAAAAAAAAAATCTTTTTTTAATGCATATGAAAAAAAATCCAATCTCCCCAATCCAAAAGGGCCTTTTGATTTTTTAATT